TGCCTAATACTAGAAGAAATGGAGTCCATGGACTGGCAATAAATAAAAACAACTTTAATTTATATAATAATTGACGAATTCTTATATCTCCATGTATAAGGATTTCCCATCCTCTACTTTATTTCATGCTATAAGTTATTGAAATATTTACATCATTTTCTGCGTAATTTAATCACATAATCACTGTCCATTAACACATTTTTTGAGTAGGGACGGGCACATGACTTGAATTTAACGGGTTTTTAATTTGATTTGATTTTATCAAGTCGATTTTTTTTTTAAAAAAAGATTGGGTTTGGATAAGGTCTTTTTAGAGGTTATGTTCAAGTCGGGTCGAGTTCAAGGTTAGGGTGAAAAGCATCCTATCGGACCCGACTTGAAAAAATATAATTTTACCTTATATATTTAGGGATAATTGTAATAATATCCCTCTATAGATTATTTTTTTAATTAAATCCTTATTTTTTATTAAATAAAAATAATATTTTTGTAAATATATTATTTTAGTTCGGATCGGATTTAGACTTTATCTCAAAAAGACGAGTAGAATTTGGGTGAAGGATGTATATCAGATTGTGATCAAATCAGATAGAAGATGTATAATTTTTTGTTAGATCAAATTGACCTAGACCCGACCTAACTCAACCCATACTTATCCCTATATATATGTTGAGGCATTCAAAGTTATTGAAATAAGCAATCGTTTTGGTTTGAGAATAAATTTAAGTACACAAAATTTTGATTATGTAAGTGTATCTATTTGAATGTCGTATCACACATTTAAATGACCAAATGAAATTAGAAAATGAGAAACAACAAGATCATGGTTTTTCTTTAATGTACCGGATTTAAATTTTGATGGGTTGGTGGGATGTTCAACTTAGATATGTCTCTCGTGAAGTTATCATTTTTTTTAATATTTTTCTCGTGAAGTTACCATTTTTTTAATCTGTTGATAACACGTACACAATCTATAGATGTAGTTGTTTAAATACGAGTCTTTTGAATAAAACAATATTCTCTTTTATCATTGAGGTTACTCAATAAATATATTTATATATACTAATCAGATTGAGTGCGTTTATGATGATGATTAGTAGGCATGTGTAAACTTGAGAGGGTTGCCTTGTGTATATTTTTGTCTTACAAGCAAATTGAACAAAAGACGTAGGATTTGTGGGTAGGTAAATATCCTCGTTCTTCCAAGAGTCAGCGATGGATATGACTGTATTGTCACTTGCTAAAAGTTCAAGACTGTATATATACTATATCCTCGTTGGTAGATGACTGTATGACTATACCCTCATTCAATATAATTTGTTTTATAATCTTGTCGATGGTTAAAATGACCCCTAATATATTCGTTTCGATGCCTACGGTTACTATCAAATTTTAAAATAATTATATTATTTCGTACAAGAAAACATAGTGTACGAAACAAGGAGTGGATAAATATTATAACGAGTTTTCAAGTTGTCTTAACTCTTAACCTGACCGTAGTACAATTGTCGAGAGGGAAATTTGTCTCAGCCTATGACAATGATCACGTGGTACTTCATTCGTATCAATCAAGATATTCAAATTATAAGATTCTAATATGATTATCCATCATTTAATGTGTCAATCAAGTCATAATTTATTAGTATTTAATGTAGTAATTAATAAAATTATATATTTGGTCATTATTTACTTGTGTTATCAATTTGATCTTAATTTTAATTTAATTCGATAAATTTGATTATCTAATAATACGATAAAATGATTTAATAAATTGAATAGGAGTAACAGAATTCTACAATTTAAGTGGACTCTTTAATTTAATACTCCATTTATATAAAATAGTTTAAATGTCCACAAAGAAAAGCAAGCAAAGCACCCAATTTTGAAGCTACTTAAATATGGCTAAATCTTCCCAAAATTTGGCCATCTTTTGCATCATCTTGGCTCTTGCTTCATGTTAGTAATTTCTGCATTCTCTTTTACTTGTTTTAAATTGAAATTTAATTAGACAATAAACACCATTTTATTAATTTTTTTATATTTCTTCTTAATTACGTTTCTAATAACAAAATTAATTTCTCTCAACTAATCAAATAATTTGAGTTGAACATTTGGTTATGTGACATATATACTCTATTATTTCTCTCTCTCTTAATTTATATATTTTCTTTAACATGTGGACATATATTTCACATCATTATATATATCAAAAAATAAATCTTGTCAAGATTATTTAACGGTAAAAATACACATTTTAAGAAGTATAGAATTAAGCATGACACTTGGGATTGGTTACTTTTGGTGTGACTAATAGGAGGGGAATTGATTGGTGCAGGGATGTATTGAGAGTGGTGTTGGGAAGCAGTTATATATTTTTTAAAAGTTTAAAATTTTATATAATTTAAATATTTTTTTATACTTTTTATCGATAATTTATTTTTGCATTCTTAAATTTAGAGATGATAATGAGGTTAGGTTTTTGGCCAACTTGACCTGACATAAAAGTTATATACTCTCCATTTGGTCCCGATCCGACCCAAAAATATATATACTCTTCATCCGAACTCTACTCGAAAAATATATATCTTGCACCCAACTAGACTTAATTATATACCCTCCATCTGAACTCGACCTAATCCAATTTTTTGGAGTATAAACCCGACTAAACATGAATTAAGGACATAATTAAAAAATAGAGAGTGAGAAGGATATCATAGTAATTATCAATAAATTTATATGAAAAATTACTCTATTACTCAGGTCGAGTTCGGGTGAAGGATAAAATCCGACCTAATCCTATATAAAACCCAACCCAAACTAGATTTTTTAAAGGAATCCGACTCTATCAAATTGGATCAAGTCATAACTCATCAATTTCGGATTAAATTGTCATCTCTATATAAATTTTAAATATAACCTTTTACATTCTACCATAAGATAATGAGTTGGGTTTTAATCGGTACAGATTGGGAAAATGAGGTTGAAGCAAAGGACCAAGACGATCCATCAGGATGCGAAACCACCTTACGGAAGGACATCAAACGGGGTTTCGAAAGAATGGTCCAAGTAGCAGACGGAACCTACGTGAAGAAGAACGACGCCTGCGCTCGCGCCTGGAAAAATGAGTACGACTTCACCGGGACATCTAATAGATATCTAGACAATGGGATTGGCAACAAATAAGTTTAATTTATAGGATTTCTCATCCTACTTAATATTATTTTAATATAATATCAAGATTTATCTTCAATATTTCATAAAATAGTTATTTTTATTTTTTATACACTTTGACTCTAATATCTTATTTTAAAATAAAATATCTCTTAGATAGATAAAAATCATTAATTGATTAACAATTAATGTTTATCATTGACATGATATATATTATATCATCATTTTAAACACCTAATATATATCGCATTATTACTTTGAAAGTAAATCTAATGATGAAAATATGCATTTCAAGCAGTAGAGAACTAAACACGATCGCATCTGGGATTGATTGCTTTTGGCGTGGCTAACAAATGGATGGTTGGGGGGACAAATAAAATTAAGTTTAATTTATATAATAAATGATGAATTCTTATATCTCCATGTATAAGGATTTCCCGTCCCCTACTTTATTCCATGTTATAAATTATTGAAATATTTACATCATTTTCTGCATAATTTAATCACAGTCCATTAACACATTTGTTGAGGCATTTAGTTATTGGGGCAAGCAATTGTTTTGGTTTGAGAATAATCACATTGGCATAGGCCTTTGATACACTATGCCTTGTCCCCTTCGGCATCACATTCAATTGCTTGGCAGTCATTATCACTGCTGCATGCCACTTGGGGTTGCCCTCGAGCCCTTGGTATCACTGAAGATATCATTGCTTTGCTGCCCAAAAAATAAATCCTAATGAGAAATTATTCCACACACAAGATTATATAAAACTTTAACTTTATGAGTATGTTCATTTGAACGTCGATTCTAAATTATATTTTAAATCTAAACCCTAAAACTCTACAAGACATTTATGAAATATGAATTATTTAATAATTAGTATGAAAAGAGAGATGGTTGTTTAATTTAATAGTAGGGATGAACAACAAAAATTAAAAATCAATCCAAATCATGGTGTTTGAACGAGTTATGGTTCACAAGTTTAAAAACGATGGTTACTCGAACCGAATTTGATTTTTTATTTAATTTATAATTATTTTTTTACTGATTTATAATGTGAAAATAATAATTTTATTTAAAACTATTGAAATAATTTAGAAATATTGTATACGAATTAGTATTTTTTTTTCATTTACTGAAAATTTTTAAATCTTAAAAAATATGGGAAAATATTTTAAAATTTTACCAAATATTGTTAACAAAATCATAAAATAAAATTATTTTGTCAATAAAATATAAAATCTCGAAAACAAAAGTTAATATGGAAAAAGTGAAAATTAAGATTAACTCAATCGAAAATTGATAGATAGTTTAAAAACATCATCGACTCGAATCGCATACACCTCTATTTAATGGTGACAAAGAGTAAGATAAAGAACTTACATGATGCAATTAGCACAAGGATGAACATTTTCATATTCAAAGGAGTTGATTTTTCCTTCTTGTTCTTTTTTTTGGCCTTTTAATTATGAGTTAATGGAAATTATGATCTAATATTGAATTTGAGTGGATATGAATATTAACTTGTACATATTTTTTACTTTTATTGTCATCCTTGATCATATCTTATTTGAGTTAAATTTTAGATTCAAAAAATCAATTTTGACATGACTTGAGTTATTATTTTATTAGGCCTCTAATTTTATTGGTTTAGTCATTTTAACCTTCAAAGTTTTATTCTGTCCCTTTTAACCCGCAATCTTTTTATAATTTATTAAATTGATTCAAACGTGATGAAATAGTTAGGTGACTAAATCAATAATTTACTCTAAAAATATTAAATTTATTTAATTGATACACATACACAGTTTTGATGGATAAACAAATATAAAATAAAAGAATAATTCACATTGATATCAACCAGTACCGAAAATAACCGACGATGGCCTGTTTCTCACTCATAAAAATACACAGCCAATGCAGAAATTAGTGCAATGAGAACTGCTACCAACATGTATGACAGTTTAAGGTGGCATGTCTTCTATTTTTCCAAAATCAGCATGCTCGGAATGACGCTAGTACCACCGCCGGTTACTGTGTCGGAAGGCTTAGCTGCAGTCCTATGATGAGATTCATCTTTTGATGGCTCATCCACCTGTTTTATAAGAAAAAAAATTGGAGATGAATCAAATTTTCAAATGAATTCTGGGTTTTATTTATAGATTTCAAAGGTTCATGGAGCATTTAAACAGGTGAAGAACCTGAAAAGTACCTGCCTGTACACCTTTGGCTGAGGGAGCTGCTGTAGATTCAGCTTTTTCCTTATTTTGTAACTTTTTCATCAATGTTTCCTTCTCTTTTACTAATGAAGATAGCTGCGCAGAACATGTTGCGCAATTAATAAGCCGAACCTTCGATCAAATCTCTTCGTTTCACAAGAAAAAGGGTATAAAGTTAATACCTGGTTTTCAATGCGTTCCCTTTCTGATGCTAGTTGGGCAACCATATCTGTGATTAGCTTGGTCCTATGACTGATTTCTTTTGCACTTGCATCTTTTTCGATGTTAGCTTGGTTCAAAGATGTCTCCAAGCATTCAATTTTATGTCTCAGGATGCCTAGCTCGTTATTGAGTTCGAAGTTTGATTCGGATAATATAATGCATTGCTCATCCACGCTCTCGGTTCTACTTTCAGCTTTCGAAACCTTCGATTTTAGATCTTCGATTAAAGTTTCCATATCCCAAATTGCAGAGTAAAGCATGTTTTGCTGTTCTTGACTTGCTTCGGATGATGCTTTTGCATGCTGTAGTTGAATCTCCGATTCCCTCAACTGCGTTTCTAGTGAGGTCACCTTCTTCGTGCTTTTCTCATTATTATCTTTGAGAAAATTCAACTCTTCGGTAAGTTCCAGGTTCGTATCTGTCAACTCCGATGCCTTGGCTTCAGCACTTTCGGCTCGATTTTCAGCTTCATAGAGGCTTTCTTTTAGTGAATCGATAACGATTTCCATTTCGTGAAGATGCTCTTGACTTGTTTCATTGGAAGCATTTGCTTTCTTTAGTTGGAGCTCGGATTCTTTTAGCTGTTCCTCGATTAATTTCATGTTCTTCCTCAATGTGAATACTTCTGAAGCTTTTGCAGCTTGTTCTGCGTTGCTGATCTCCAGCTTTTTTAAAGCAATATCTTTGGCATCCAACTCGTCGATGCAACCTTCAAGTTTAGATTTGAGCTCACCTTCTCTTTGAATCGAACCATTCAGGTTAAACTGAACGATCTGAAGTCGACCTAACAGTTCCTTTGAAATTCCCATGAGCACCTCAGCAGTGTTTTCTGCCTCTAGAAACCGTCCCCAGACAACTTCTGCAGCCTCTTCCATACGAAGAGCGACTTGTTCGGTATAATGTAGCTTTAATTTTAATTGTTCTTCGTTTTGCCCGGACTCCGATAGTTTCTTTTCAAGATCTAGCTCCCTTGCAAGTGATTTGTCAAGCATCCTTAGAATGTGTCGTTGTTGTTCAACAGTCTGCACTTTGGATTTCCTGATGAGGTTTGATAGCTGATATTGTTCGGATATATCCACTGCCTCATCATTACTCCCTATTAACACATGCATATGTTAGAGTGATCAGAAAGCTGTTAGGTTCTAAACTTTTTTTGTTATGTGATAAAATCGAACTCGGACTTACAGTTCTCGTTTCTGAAATACGGAAATGAAGCTTGCAGCTTCGTCGACAGCAACTTCACCTCCAAGACGATCCCTTGGCACTTTTTCATGGTTTCTTCAGAATCATGCAGCTTCTTATCCATTTCATCAAATTTTTCTCCCAAAGGTAGGCATGAGGATGTTTTACGACGAGCATCAACAATCTCCGACTGAATGGTACTCAAGAAAGTTTCGACTTCCCTTAACTCCAAATCTAAAATCCCACATAAAAGGTCAAATGCCAATGCCTTCTCGATGAACTGAGCTGAAATATCACCATTCTCTAACACCTTCGCTTCCGAACCGTTGTCCCAACCCAAAAGAAGCATCAAAAGTACATGAAGATTTACCAATTTCTCATCCGAATATGCCAGTTCAAAGTCGATTCTGTCTAAATCGGCACTCAACGGTTCTTGGATGCCCTCTCCGTGAAAATGAACTGAATTCAACTCCGAGTTTTCCATATGCATATGCTTTCCATCGACATCGAAGTCGTTCGTTTCCATGCCTCAATTCGTAGTTTAGCTACCTGTGAGGCAAAATATGATAAGAAAAAACCAGTTCAGATCTCTCCCGGTCACAAATGCAGTTAAATTCAGCTACAGAGAACTCTATGATGGAAATCATTCATATCAAATCGGCACCGGTGCCTACCGATACAAGTCCTTTACTACCCTACGGTGGTTCAATCTACCTCATCAATGCAAATTAAACCATAACAAAGCAACAAAAACAGGCAGATTCATTAGCTAACCCATCTTGAAACATAAAAAATTCACCAAACCAATTCATTCCAACATCTTAAAGATTGCCAGAAGTTGTAATAATGCAACATTCATCAAACTCTACAGCAAGATTCAGATGAAAAAACCAATAAAAACATTAACAAATCTCAAAACCCAACCCTTCAGTTCTTCACTGACACTTTCCATCAAACAGGTGATTGAAAAGTTAACATCTTTAAAGTCAAAGGACAAGTAGACATTAAAAGAGACCAAACTGTCATAAAAATTTCCCGCAATAAATGAAGCATACACAAGTAACACGAACAATCAAAGAGGCAAAATTCAGAAACAAAATTTTTTTTTTTGCAAGGAGGACAAGAACTGAGATGAAAAAGAGGGTACCTGAAAGCAAAATGAAGATGGGGATTTTGGGAAAATGGATCAACCAAAGAAGAAAACTTGAAATTTACCCTTTGAACAGCGACCTGTTGTGCTCATAATACCGTTGATAATTCATTCATTTTGTCAGTTACAATTGGGTGTATTAGCAAATAACAAGTCAATTGTTCAATGGGAGTTGGAAGCAAAAGATGAGGTGGTCGGCGCACTTTAGCAACCACCGTGGTCCATGCTGTGCTACGTTGAATTATTGAGATGCCATTCAAATAATGTTATGGCCTACTACCATTACACAAGTTATGATAACAATCGAGCTAATAACTTTGTTTAGAAGAATGTTATTAAAGACGTATAATGGTATAATAATATCTTCGAAATTTTATTTTTTTAATATTTTTTTCTTTTTGTCCTCGTCATCTTGTTTTCTCTTTTCTTTTCGACCTTACATTTTGATTGTTAGAGCGTATTCTTTCATTGTGTTTTTTGTTGTTCAGATCATGTTATAGGTTTATTCGATTAATTTTTTTTTCTATCGACACATTTAAATCATATTTGATGATGATGACGACATAAGATAAGTTAATTTTTTTTCTATTTTAACTTAATTTTATAAAAACTAAAAAAAAAACGATGGTCATTACTCATTATAGTCATTGATATCATAAATTATTCAAACACCAACTCAATTAACCATATTACTAAAATTTCATTATTTATATAACTCTGTACTGATAAATAATATGGTAAGTATATGTCACCTTTTACTCTTTGTACTGCAAGGTTATCTCTTGATTATAATGTCTCAACTATTGGAAGATAATCTATCATTTCTTTTAGGCCCAACATAAATTCAATTTTGGACCACCAAATCAAATCATATTGACTATTTGAGTCCATAGAAGCAAAATATTTACCTTGGGCCTATTGTAACATGTGATTCTGATAAGCTTGGAGCCCTGTCCTCAAAGATATGTATGCAGAATCTTAATCGAGTAAAAAAAAACCCCTAATATTTTAACCACATTATTAATTGTCATCAAAATGTACAAGTAAACTCCCTTTTATATCTTTTGTAATTTATATGATTTTTTAGTTTATTAATTCAGATCGAGTCTTATAAAGTCTCATTATGAGTTAAGATCATTTCTAACTGATTGTTTCTATTCACGGTGCTAGAATTCAAACTCTTGACTTTTGTTTAAGTGAACTAACATTTCATCTTATAGTTGTTCAACCCCACAGCTTTAATTAATATTACATTATTATTTGAATAATCTAGAGTGATTATAAAGTAGTATTTATTTATAATTATATTAATCTATTGACAATACATACACATCTTACACACAACTGTTCGAAATTAAGATCTCTAGAAAGAATAATTTTATATTTTATTAATGAGACCAATATTATTATTATATTTGTGATATGGAAAGCCTGACCATTTTTATAACCCAAGTCAAACCAATGAGGTGTACCATCTAAGCTTCATTAAATTTACAATATCATAAACCTAGTTAGTGCTTGAAACTACATCCATGCATCCTACACCTTCTTCATGTTGGATTGTTTTATGAATTGGTATTAAGAATGGTAAATCGATATAAATTTGATTTATACTCGAATTTTATAAAAGAAAAAATAATCATATAAGATCGAGTTAGGTTAGAACTCATTAAATATGAGTTGAGTTATTATCCTTAATAAAAAAAACAATCTAAAGCCTAACCAAGCTTAGTTGATACAATCCATTTCAACGCTGGAGTCGTGTTCTATATAAAATCATATATATCATTATTTAAATATATTTAGGTTATCAATGTGATCATATATATTCTATTAAGAAGTAATGATATAAATAATATAAAAATGGATGTTGGGATAACGTAAAGATTGAAACGTGCTTTGCTTTAATCGATTCATGTCGATAAAAAGAAGAAAAAAAAGGAGAATTAAGGGAGTGGAAGAGTAATGATGGGAGATGCACAGTCCTTTGATTCGGTTTAAAGATTTGTTAAAGCTCAGTTTAAGAGATCTCGAATCCTCAGCTCCTATCCCATGTTGCTTTGTATGAGTTTTTTTTTTATTTTATCATCATCAAAGGATAATCATTGCCAGCAAGCAATTTTTTTTATTAGAATGTGATACAAGACAATCAACGTTCATACATCCTCGAAATAATCATATTCGAATTCAAAACTTTAAATGATAATAATAATTTTTAAATCACTAAAATCATATGCACGATCACCCAACTCTTACTTTCTTATAATAACACTTTTATGATTCTATGTGTCTAATTTGGTTTTAACCCCTTCATTATGCTGAAATCTAAAATTTAATCCCTCTATTGTAATTTGAGATAACTTAGCCCTTTTATAATGTTAGTTGATTGGTTTCCTTCATTATCTAATCAGAGAAAATTGATCCTAAGGAATCTGAAGCCCCTTCTGTTTAATTACATAGGTAGGGTCCCCCACCCTAAATTTCCATTTCCATTGTCTTCCCCTTTGGACGCTGCCCTTCTAGATACCCTTTTGTTTAGTGTTTCTAGTTCAATGTATTTTGAAAAACAATTATATATAAAATATATATGTTAGATAATTCATTTTAGGGTAAAGTACAGAAAAGATCTCCCGACTATAAGATTATGTTTTGTTGAGTTTATCGTCTATTAAAAGTTATGAAATAGTCTTTTAATTATAGGGAATTACTTTGTTGAGTCCCTCGACTATTAAAATTACAAAATGATCACTCAACTATTCATATGTTCCAAACTCGTCATTTTTCATTAAAATTTTGATGACAATTTGATTTTAATATTAATATATTGATTGAGATATGACAGTCATTTGAGATTTTGGGATTAGATTTTATCATATCGCAATCAACAAATTAACGTCCAACTTAGATTGTCGTCAAATTTTTAACATAAAAGGACGAGTTTTAAACATATGAATCGTCAAATGATAATTTTGTAACTTTTAATAGTTGCTAACTCAAAAATATAATGTCTTATAGTCAATTGATCATTTCATAACTTTTAATATTATGAGACTCAATATAATCAGAGGATCATTGGTGTTCTTTTATCATTCATTTTAGTACAAGAAGAAAAAGGACAATTTAGAATATGTATAGAACAAATAATTGTCTGAAAATTAAATTTAAATTTGATGAAATTTATGATATATTATTTTTTGTACAATAATGGAATTTATAATATTAAAGAATGTCATCTTTATACTGAATGTATGTAATATTTTTATGTAATAATGAATTTACAATATTTTATCTGAATTAATTATTAAATTAAATATAATAGTTAATAAAAAAATCTTACATAATTTATATGGTGTGAAATTAACGGAATCAATACAAATCATTTTAACCTCTTACATGGGCATTTCAATAGTGCTTAGGGTTAAGTAAAGAATAGTGTTTTATTTTTTTAGTGTAAAAATAAGTGTTTAGAGTATGCTTAACGATCATTAAATAATACGTGTCACATTTATAAAATTTTATTTTTTATTTAAATTAAACAATTTAATATTACAATTTATTTTAAAAATTCAGAATTTTATAAAATTACCTAAAAACCTCAATTTACTTATAACATTAATTTTAATCCCTTAACACTTTCGGTTGCCACTGACATCATCAATCGACCGAACACCAGACATTGTTCGATCGGACAACACCCAATAGTTGAAGCCCATTTATTTTCGCGACCGACCAAACACCCAATGACTATGTAAATACAAGATTTATTGATCGGCAATGTAAGTGATTGAAATTAGTTTTTTTTATTTTAAGGTTTTTTATAATTTTATAAAATATTGAGATTTTTAATTTTTTGAATTTCAAGTGTATTTTTAAATAAAATTTTATATGTATAATATATGTCAAATAATAATAATTGTTATGATCCAGACACGTAAAAAATAAGACAATTAAAATTGTAATAAAAAACACATTAAACATTTATTTTTAATGCTTTTTTAAATAGCTAAATTTAACTTTAGGTATGGTTTAATTATTGGTTTTACATGGAACTTTTATTTTTTATAAAGTAGAAGTTAACGAGTCTGGGAGGGAGGAGATTCCATTATTCTAAAGCTTAGGTATGTGAGAATTGTGAGTCCCAAGGCCAACTAATAATGACATGAAAGAAAGAGAGAAATGGACAGTCCATAAACACTATAGTAAAATATTTCGAAAACACTGCATTTGGATTTTTTATTGTTTATGGCGAGTAAGGCTATATAAAGAGTAGTTTGAGATTCTATTTGAAAATTTTAAAATAGAATTCCACTTATTTAGAAATTTGTGATTTAAAATTTTTAAGTTTAAATTTAACTTGAAATTATAAATTAAAGCTTGAAAAATTTTAAAATAAAAAAATTCTTAAACTTAACTCGAACATAAACCTTAAATACTAAAAATCATATTATTACATTTAAAAAAATCAACACATACATGTTAATAATTTAATTTTTCAAAATAAAATTTTAATATATTATTTTTTCCGAGTTGCTACGAATTTTTCGAATTAAGTATCAAATAGTTCATTTCAACTTGTTAAATCCTTGAGTTGAGTTCGAGTTCAACTCAAGTCCATTCAAATTGAGTATATATCAAAATAACTCACTATTTGTTTAGTCTCATTTAAAACCCTAATGATGAGCCTTGGTTATAGGGCAAAGAAATGTGTGTTCAAATTTGTTGGTCAACTCTCTTGGCTAAATTTTTGAGTAGTTCTTTCTACGATAATTAAATTTAAAGTTAATTTAATGTGATTTTTAATTCAAAATGTTCTTTTATTCAATTTAAATATTTATATATATATTTATAATATTTTCGGTTATAAATCTAAAAGTTAATTACTGGGAGTTTAAATATTATAACTGAAAAAATTATACAAATTTATAATATTTTAGATTATAATCTAAAATATTATTATGTCAAATCTAAAATATCATATTCTTAATAAAAAAATCTATTACAATTGATTTTATTCATTATAAATTTTATATTAACAATTTGTATTTTAGAATTCGCTAAATGTTTACATGTACACACTAAGTAATAAAAGGTATTGTCAAATTGACAAGAAAGGTACGAATGCCAAAGCAACAACAAGATCCTTTGGTGTAGAACTTCCCCTAAAGCCACGGCTGCCATTAACCCACAGCTTTTGACCAGTTTCAAGATGCTATTGCCTGTTGCCACAAGCAAGACAAACCATTTCTCATTCTCCTATAAATGCTTATAACATTGACACACCACCCTTACAAAAAATGCATTATTGGGAAGAACAAAGAAAGTGACTTTCTTTAAGATTTTCAATTATTAAATTTTATAAAATACTAATCGAATTTCGATGATGCTAAAAATAAATAAAAAGCCGTGAAATGAACTAGATTTTAGCTTCTTGACCAAACAAAATTATAATAAAAAGCAGAAAAATTAATCATCTAATGGAGTTGGCAATGTCTGTTGATTGCTCGAATGGGTATAATTATAACTTAAATATACAGAATAAAAACTTTGAAAGCAAACTTTAAAAAATAACCCCAAAGTGATTTAAAGTTTTTTTTTAAAAAAAAGTCTTCAAGGAACGGAGGATTGAAGAGGAGGGGTGTTTTGTATTATTTTAACAGTAGCAGTGGCGGTGGTTAATGATCAAAGAGCTCTCTTTTTGATGCAAGCGTGGGTATAAATGTAGCACATTTGCCATTACTCTCCTCTTTCATTCTGTACTCTACAAAATAGACAAATACCCATTGATTTTCCCTCACTCTAAAGTAATAGAACTTTCTCCTTTATTAATTTGCTTCTCTAGTTTTATTGGACTGTTTTGTAGCAGAGTTGCTCTGTTGCTCAAGAATTGAGCTGAAATTCTATAAAAGCTTTAACTTTGGTGTGTCTGTGAGTGTTGAAAAAAAGAATGCTATGAATGAGAATACAGAAAAAAAGTAAGCAGAGAATCTGAAAATGGGTATTTCTCTCTCCCTAGTTTTAGTTGAGTTTCTCTCTTTTTCTGGGTTTCTCTGCTGAACTCTGACTAGGGTTTCGAATGAGAAGGGGTGGCTTTATTTATTGAACCGAAACCAATGATCTTCTTCTCTTCTTTTTTGGGTTAAATTGACTGCTTGTTGTGGACTTTTAATTTCTCTCACAGCTTTTTCTCTTCTGTCCCATCTTTTTGTCTTGAAAGCCTTTTCATTTGTGCAAGTTTGTGTACTTCTAATTCTCAGGTTTTGCTTTGGAAATGGCAGCTGTGTCAGCTATGTTTTTGACTTTGAGGACTATTTAACTTTCTTGTATCCCAAGATTTCAGACCCTTTGTGAACTTAGCTTGAAGTTTGTTGGTAAAGTTATTGTGTATTATTATATGTCGAAGAATTAGATGATTTGCCCATGTGATGTGTTTGTTGTTTTTGTTGCTTATATCTATCTCTTTTGTGGTCTTTGATCTTTGGTTTGATGAACTTAGACTTGGTGCAATTAAGGGTATTTTTAGGTTTTGGTCAAATTTTCAAGGCTTAGTTTTCTGTTCATCAGCCTGACTATGGACTATTGCCTAGGTATGCAAACATAATTGTAGAGGCCTAGATTGAAATCTGCAATTCTACTGGCCAAAAGAAGAAGAAATCTATAGTTCTTGTCGAAGAGGGATGGATGCCGGCGAAAAGGATAAATGCAAGCTAGAAAAGAGAAGTGACAATGGTATAAACTACCAAGGATCTGGTATGTCATTGGCTTGGCAGTTTGGTGGTGGCAATGTCACCAGTACTCCTATGAGTTCAGTTCCTAGTGATAATCCATTGATTATCGGCTCTTCATCTTGTTCGGCTTCGATGGTAGATTCGTTTTGTTCTAACCTTTGGGAGCACCCTGCTAGTTTGCAAAACTTGAGTTTTTGTGATATTAATGTGCAAAACGGTGCGACCTCTTCAAATGCAATGGGAATTGCAAAAGGCGGTCCTGCCACTATGAGAAGTAGCATTGATAGACCATTTGATATGGGATGGAATGCAACAAGTTCAATGTTGAAAGGGGGTATGTTTTTACCGAATGCGACTGGGATTCTACCTCAGACCCCATCTCAGTTGCCTGCTGACTCGGCTTTCATCGAGCGTGCTGCCAAGTTCTCGAGCTTTAGTTGGGGAAATTTTAGTGATATAGTCAACCCTTTTGGTATTCCCGAATCTATGGTTGTGTATAATAGGGGTGTGGGCCTGATGCAAGGACCACTGGGTGTTTCTGCAATCGGTGGGATGAAATCAGTATCCGGTGTGGAAACTCAGAAAACTAAGTTGATTGCCACTGAAACTTCCAGTGATGCTTGTTTCCCAGCTGAGAATAGGGCTACTCGAGAAAGTCTGCTCAAGAACGATAGAGGAAGTGAAAGTCTCATGCGGTCTAATGAAGAAACAAAACTAGTAAATGGTGGCTCAGGGAACGAGTCTAATGAGGCCGAGTCTAGTGGCGGTATTGGTGGTCAAGATGAACCATCTGCATTGGATGGTACAGGCGGTGAACTGTCAGCTAAAGGTGTTAGTTCTAAGAAAAGAAAAAGGAGCATGCAGGTGAACAATTTTTACCGATTCTTCCCCTGATCCACTATTCACTTTTTGTTTATACATGGTTTTGATTGCTAAGTTTATGGCAGGATGCTGAGATTGATCATGCTAACAGGAGTCGATCACCTGTTGCTGCTGCTAAGGATGGTTCTGAAAACCAACAGAAAGGAGATCAGAACCAATGTACAGTGATGAACAAGCCTATGACAAAACATGGCAAACAAGGGACTCAAGCTTCTGATCCACCAAAAGAAGAGTACATCCATGTCAGAGCTCAAAGAGGCCAGGCGACAAACAGCCATAGTCTTGCAGAAAGGGTAAGGTTTATATTGAAAACTTACTATAGAAATATTTAGATCATCTGATTGAAGCTAAATTGGTTATGACCTCAGGTAAGAAGAGAAAAGATCAGTGAAAGGTTGAAATTTCTGCAGGACCTTGTTCCTGGTTGCAGTAAGGTGTGTGTTGTAAGATGGTATAGCTTAATGAGTACAGTCGAATTAACTTCTTCACAGCGGTTGGAACAGCTGGTTTAGTTCCGTTTGTAAGGGTTTATCAATTCTTGCAGGTTACAGGCAAGGCAGTGATGCTAGATGAAATCATTAACTATGTGCAGTCACTTCAGCGGCAAGTTAAGGTATCGGAGTTGAGTTAACAGCAGCTACCTGTGAATACTGAACAGATATAACCATATGCTATCCTTCACAAGTTCTAATGTGTGACTTCATTTTCTTCTTTTTGCAGTTTCTATCGATGAAACTTGCAACGGTGAACCCACGGCTTGATTGTGATATAGAAGGGCTTCTTGCAAAAGATGTAAGCTGATAATGTGTAGATTTAGCAATTACTCCTGTCTATATGTCTCGCTTCTAATTCATCATACAGCAGATTATTCAATCACGAGCTGGTCCATCATCGCTGGGGTTCCCTCTGGACTTGTGTGTGGGTTATACTCCGTTACATCCATCTCAACCTGGACTTGTTCCGGGTGGTAATCCTGTCATGGGGAATGCTGATTTTATGTGTAGAACTCTCGGTTCCCACTTCATGCCAATGACAGGATTCAAGGAGCCTAATCAGGTTTTACTTCAGTTTTCTTATAGTTCACTCTCGCATGATGCAAATAACATAAAATGTTGTCTTCTTTAACAAATTTACTTCCCGTGTGTCGATACATTTTGATTCTAGCTATCAAATGCATGGGAGGATGATCTCCACAATGTTGTCCAAATGAACTACGTAACCAGTGCTCCTTCCGACACCCAAGAAGTAAATGGTATTTACGCTCTCTAGTTCACTCGCCCTGAAGCCCCTGTCACAGGCTGAATATACTTCGACCCGGACCGTAATTCATCTATTTCTTTTGCAGGGTGTCAACCATCAGGCCATACGAAAGTATAACTTCGATCCTAAAGGGTTTATATAGCTCTATTCCGGGCAGCTTGGATTTATAACACATTCTTGAAGATAGCCAAAGACAAATTTGAATATGATATCACTATTTTCCTACCCTGTACTCATTGAATAACTGAAGACGTTATCGGCCTGGTTTTATAGCCGCGAATAGCAGTCTAGTTCACCCGAACCAGATGCATGTTTGACGGCGCGTGCTTCATTAACTGTTTGTTGGGGGTAATTGTATAATTTGTATGATTTTATAGATTGATGGTATGGAAATTTTTGTGATGTAGGAGTTATGTTTTCATCTTGTAATCTTAGATGATGTCTTACTGTAATTTACAGATAACAGAGATGTATTTCATTAATTCAATCAAATGAATTCGTTGAATGATTAAAGATTAATGATAAGAAATGAGATTTTTACGGGGAAAAAAGTCATCTTTTAATAATTAAAAGTTTTTATCTTAATTAATAAACTCTTGATGTAAAATTCAGTAGTTTTACCCATTGTTAAACCTCTCGCTATATATGCTAACGCCCATTCCCGCCAACCAATTGTTTTCAACACAAAATAAAAGAAAATGTCTTTGAACTCTAACTACTACTGTTCGGTACTGAAAATCTGCACCGAGACCCGAACCTTAGTCCAAGCAAAGAAAATTCATTGTCACATTCTTAGAACCATTGAAGACCCGGAAACATTCTTACTGAACAATCTCGTTAACGCTTACAGTAAACTAGGGGATTTGAGGTATGCACGGTACGTGTTCGACAAAATTCCCCGACCAAATCTCTTTTCATGGAACACTATTCTTTTCACTTATTCAAAATCTGGGAATCTTTCAGAGATGAAAGATATCTTCAACCGCATGCCTATGCGTGATGGGGTTTCTTGGAATTCGCTTATTTCGGGTTACGCTTCTCGTGGTTTGGTAACTGATACAGTGAAGGGTTATAGTTCAATGTTGAGGGATGGAGCGGCTAATTTGAATAGGATAACGTTTTCTACTATGCTTATATTGTCGTCTAGTCAAGAGTGTTTTGATTTGGGTAGACAGATTCATGGGCAGATTGTGAAATTTGGGTTCGGTTCTTATGTGTTTGTGGGTTGTCCCTTGATGGATATGTATTCAAAAGCAGGGTGTGTTTACGATGCGAAACGCGTTTTTGATGAAACGCCAGAGAGGAATGTGGTAATGTATAACACAATGATTACTGGGCTTTTGAGGGACGGTATGGTGGAGGATTCCAGGTGGTTGTTTCGTAGTATGCAGGAAAAAGATTCGATTTCATGGACAACTATGATCACAGGGTTGACTCAGAATGGTTTATATAGAGAAGCTATTGATTTGTTCAGGGAGATGAGGATAGAAGGTTTGGCTATGGATCAGTTTACTTTTGGAAGTATGTTGACGGGTTGTGGGGGTTTAATGGCCCTGAAAGAAGGCAAGCAAGTTCATGCCTTTATAATTAGAACAAATCATCAGGATAATGTTTTTGTAGGCAGTGCACTTGTCGACATGTATTGCAAGTGCAAAATCATAACATCTGCAGAGACAGTTTTCAAGAGGATGACTCGAAAGAATGTTGTATCCTGGACTGCACTGCTTGTAGGTTATGGCCAGAATGGGTACAGTGAAGAAGCTATTAAAATCTTTTGTGATATGCAAAGAAAGGGGATAACTCCTGATTATTATACTCTAGGAAGTGTAATTAGGTCATGTGCAAACCTAGCAAGCTTAGAAGAGGGTGCACAATTTCATGGCCAAGCCATAGTTTCTGGCTTACTTTCTTTCACGACAGTTTCTAATGCACTCATTACTTTATATGGAAAATGTGGAAGCATAGAAGATGCTGATCGACTGTTCAATGAGATGAATTTTAGGGATGAAGTTTCATGGACAGCATTGGTATCAGGGTATGCGCAGTTTGGTAAAGCCAATGCAACAATTGATTTGTTTCAAAAAATGTTGGCCCATGGTCTAAAACCTGATGAAGTTACTTTTGTCGGTGTTCTATCAGCTTGCAGTAGGGCAGGTGTAGTGGAAAAAGGGTATCAGTACTTTGAGTCAATGGTAAAAGAACATGGAATCACGCCAGTGATTGATCATTATACTTGCATGATCGACCTTCTTAGCCGAGCTGGAAGGTTAGAAGAAGCAAGATGCTTTATAAACAAAATGCCTATGCCTCCTGATGCAATCGGTTGGTCTACCTTACTTAGCTCGTGTAGACTTCGTGGTAACTTGGAAATTGGGAAATGGGCAGCTGCATCCCTTCAGGAACTAGAGCCCCACAATCCTGCAGGTTACATCTTACTCTTGAGCATATATGCTGCTAAAGGAAAATGGGATAATGTGTCAGAATTAAGGAGGGGAATGAGAAATAAAGGAGTGAGAAAGGAACCGGGATGCAGTTGGATCAAATATAAGGGAAAAGTTCACATTTTCTCTGCAGATGACCAGACAAGTCCATTTTCAGATCAGATATACGCTGAGCTTGATGAGTTAAATGACAAGATGGTAAAGGAGGGTTATGTACCAGATTTGAGTTCTGTTCTTCATGATGTCGAGGAATCTCAAAAAACAAAGATGCTTAATTACCACAGTGAGAGGCTTGCAATTGCATTTGGGTTGATATTTATCCATCCAAGGCTTCCCATACGGATAGTTAAAAATCTTAGAGTCTGTGGGGATTGCCATAACGTGACTAAGATTATTTCTAAGATCACTCAGAGAGAGATACTAGTACGAGATGCTGTCCGCTTCCATTTGTTTAAAGATGGAACATGCTCATGTGGTGATTTCTGGTGATGCATCTTTCTGAGCCTAAAGCTGACAATGAGGAGATCGAACCTTTTGCCAACTATTTCAAAGGACGAAATCAAAGGATCATTCACATAAAAAGGACATAATCTTGGAAGATATTATCAAGAAGATGCTTTGGATGTTGAAAACAACGCTAATTACACCAACAACTGTATTTGTCAGATCACCGGCCAAATCCTGCCGTCCAAAGTCCACAAATATTGTCACAGATCATCTGGTTCTCCAACAAGCCGAGGCTAATATCTATTGAAATTTCTCAAATAAGTTACAGCCTCGTTGTCAACTTTTTTAGTTCATGTCCCCTTTGTTAATTAGGATTTTTGGGACCTCTGGATAAATCAAAACTTGGAAAGGCTTGTCCCTTTGACTGAATGCTTCCATTAAATTTCTCTCTATTGTGAAATGGCGTTTCCATTGCTTAAAACTTGCTTGTATTCCTTTGAAAAATCAACATAAATTAGTAGCATGGATTCATCTTAGACTATAGTAAAGTCAAAATTGTCTCAACGAGTTGAACTTGAAAAACTTCATCCTACCATATCTGTTGCCTCTGTATTTACAGAATTAGTACAGACAAACTGACAGGGTAACATAAGATAAATTTTGATTTTGTTCTTTATGACACGGCATAGAAAGACTGATGCTATAATAACGAGGTATACTTTCTAGAGGCATATCATTTACATTAACGTTGGAGTGAATTTGGGGCATCTTTTTATATAGTGTAATAACTAGTTGAGCTGCTTGGCATCCGGTTTAAGCGTCTTAAAATGTTCTCAGCCATCTGTCTCGTACTACCATTCCCATGATGAAAAGCACTAACCAATGAGGCAGGCAGTGACCTATCTTGTGATATGTCTGAAGCTGACTTATTTCCACCTTTCACTAGGAATTTTTCAATCATCCAAAAAGATTTCTGCCACAGGCCCTCTTTTCTGTGCTCTTTCACCGTGTCAAGATATGTCGAATAGCATCTAATTCGTTCAACAGGCTCACACACTTGTCCACGTCAACATTGTCATCCAACAAAGTGCATATTGCCGCCATCGAAGCTTCAACTACCTCACCGTTCTCATGATCCAGGCATGCCAACAGCCTATCGACAGCATTCGCATTGATCAAACAAAAAGTGGTTTCTGAAGATCAAACACCTCTATGAACTGGACATAGTAATGGTGTCGTTATCCTTTTCGATGAACTGAAAGATAGAAGTTTCGGCAGGCGGAACAATTTCGTAGACTTGGTTTTCTTAATATTTGGTGGCTGTGATAAGTTTATTGACTCTAATGAGAGCTTCTCCAGTCCAATTGCTGATAATCTTTGAACTTCATCACTAGATGTCTTCATGAGAAGTTCTGTGAGCACCGATGTGAGTTTTTGAGCTTTTGCTAGAAACAATATCTGTGGTTCATACAGTGTAGTTGTGAATCTAACAAGAATCCCAACTAGGCCCTCTAAGTAAACAGTTGCATGCCTGCTAGTTCTTATTCCACTTCTTTGGATTAAAATGATTTTCTGAAGGATTATGGGGACAACATTCTTGTGCAGAAGAGCAAGGTTTAGTGTTAGATTCTGCTGGGGGAGTTTTTCCAGGAATTTTGCTGAAACTGCCTGCTTCTCTGTAATGTGGTTAGTTTCCATAGGGCTCTGCCCCCTGGTTTTGCAGAGTCTCTCTGCTAGTGTGTTACCCATGTGTGGTGAAAGGGTAACGAGTAGCTTTATTGCTGCAACCCCAAGTTGTTCGTGTTGGTTATCGATGAATCCAATGAGGGTGTAGCTTGCTTCAGTTTCGTTCAGAACTGAGACAATTGTTGCCATCGACTTGGGTGACTTTGTCAGGCATAACAGAATTCTGATGAGATTGATGTTGAGCTCATGAGCTTTTGAGTTCTTAAGCATGCTGATAATGTTATAGACGACATAATCTGAACTTATCCTGTGGCCATGGGAATTTACTTGGATGCTGTCATGCTCAACCCCAGACTCCAGAATATGAGCAAGTATTGCAGCCGCTTCTTTCTTAGAGTTCAAAGGCTCATCGTATATCCTACGAGTGAATCTCTTCAGCCATAATTTGGACAATACCAGCTTCAACAAGTATCCTTCCATTCGAATGGTGAGATGAGATTTGAGCCAAAGCCTTAAATGCTGCCTCTCTGATAATGGGGTTTCCACTTTGCACCATCTTAATGACAGTAGGAGAAGCTCGCTCAGCCACATAGGTTTTGCTGTCATTACTGAGAATGACTTCCCCTAAGTAGCTTGCCATTTCCATCTGCACCTCCTTGGAACCTGCTTATTTACATATCAGCATACTCTTCTCTTAGACTTGAAAACATGTTTTCTATGATCAAACTTGAACCCATTCTCCAGTTAATGCGCAGTTTAGAAATAGTTCCCTTGAAATTTATCATTTGGAAGAAGGTCAATCATAAAGAAAGTTAAGTTACCTTCTGTTAGATGATTCAAAAGAGGTTCCACGAACCCATACTCTGCCATCCGCTTTATGTTATCTCGAAATTTCTCTAGGTTCTTCAAAATTTCATCTGCTTTTTCGGAACCAAAGGAATCAACCTGATGGTTATATTTGATTCTGAGCAGAACCAAAATTGCTCCGGTTGCAGACCCGATTTTTTCACATAAAGCTTGGCATCTAGAAAGCTCAAGTAAGAAAAGCAATGATGCATGCCGAACTGACTGGTGGCTACTCGATAACAACTCGACTAGTGTTGATAGATCCATTGTATCAGCAATCATTTCCTGAACAAAATATAAAGAAAACGGTGCTGTAATGTTCTTTTCGATTTTTGGTATATATAAAATATCTGGAAATAGTAAAAAAAACTGAACCTTTCCTTCATCGTCTTCCTCAGCCAATTGTCGTAACAGTTCCAAAGCTCCACATCTGACACCTCTATCTTTGTATCCGAGTAACTTAATAAGCAATGGCAATGTTCCAACACTAAGTACTTGTACCCTGTTGTATTGTTTCCTTTTGCAGATATGTTGCAGGTCCGTTATTGCCTCTAGTATCATATTATCCAAACTAGCCAAAGATAACTCCACACGAGCAACCTTGATCCTTGCAACGTCATTCCGATCCCTCCATTGCTCTATCGTGATCTTTAAAGCAACATTGGTGCTTAAAACCCTGCTGGAGAGCTTCATCCCTGTGGTTGGACATGTTATATCCTCTAGATGACTGAAAGTTTCAAACCACTCCGATATCGCCTTCCTCTCATAGGTCACTCCACTCTCAATGGTAACTGGATCATCCATAATCTGCTTAGTTAATGGACACAAGAAAGTGTCATACATAGGTTCGATATACTGAGCTACCTGTGGCAACTTTGTAATGGGTTTGTTTATACTTTCATACTGTCTTCTATGACTTGAAATGTTTGAAGCTTGAGAACTTTCTGTGGAGACAGAAACTTCCACATGGACTGATTCCATTGGCAATTCTTGTGGCATTTGAGAATTTTCTATTCCCATTTTTGATTTCTTAGGTTGTTTTGTTGCAAAAGATATCTTCGGTTCGAGCTCTTTGGTTCGTAATTCTTGAGGGTGCTTAACTTCGAAATGGACATTCTGCATTTCCTCTGAAAGAGACCAGACCATTGGCATTTGTTGTGACATTTCAAAACTTTCTGTTGCCATTTTTGATTTCTTAGGCTGTTCTGTTGCAAAAGGCATCTTCGGTTCGAGCTCTTTGGTTATTAATTCTTGAGGTTGCTTAACTTCGAAATGGATATTCTGCATTTCCTCTGAAAGAGACCAGACAATTGGCATTTGTTGTGACATTTCAGAACTTTCTGTTGCCATTTTTAATTTCTTAGGCTGTTCTGTTGCAAAAGGCATCTTTGGTTCGAGCTCGTTGATTCGTAATTCTAGAGGTTGCTTAACTTCAAGATGGATATTCTGCATTTCCTCCGAAAGAGATCGGACTGCAGTTTCTGCATACTCATCGCCCCCAAATGTTGCAGACGGTATCAAGCACAAACATTCACCTGTCTTTTATCACCCCTTGTAGCTGCGGTATGATACTTCCCAGTTCAGTATCTGAAACTGGCTGGTTCTCTTTATGGCATTCTCCCACAAGATCTTTTGCCAGATTGACATTCTGGGAAACAGATTGTAGAATCTCTCTCGCATTTTTCGGGGGCGTTTCGGTATGCTTCAACTCCATTATCACCGGAAAAACTCGATAAAGGTAACATCCCACTTCAATAAAGCTTTCCTGCTCTACTTCTATGCATTCTATTGATTCTGTGACTGTTTTAATATCTGCCAACCAGGATTCGAAAAGACCAGAAAAGGCAGTGTTGTCAATCTGAAAAACCGAAAAAGATCGTAATTGAGATATAAGTATTTTCTGTTTCTTGAAGTTCAGAAAAATAAAGCCAATATGCATAGTCGAGGATACAGTCCAAGCATCGTACACGGCCTAGAGTTTGGTTGCACTTCACCCTATACATCATACATGTTTCTACAAGGCTAGCCTACCTTATCCGGACTCGAGTATAGAATACGGTATATTATCTCTGTAATTATGCTTAAAATTTTATAAATTCTGTAAGATTATATATCCATAACGGCATGCAATACTTTATAAAGAATGGAAGACTAGTACAGAGAGAGATTTTGTAAAGCTCGTACCGACATCGTCGAATCGGAGCTGAAACCCTCCGAGGATTCTCCTACAGGCAAAGTTGCAGAACCTTAAAAGACTTGATTGAGGATGAAAAGATATTTCAAATGATAATAATAATAATATACGGGTTATGTATGTATTTATATTATATGCATATACGTACATGTATGCATATAATGACCCCAATTTTTCTTTCTTTATTGTAATTATTATATATTAACCTATTGAAGTTGTTAACTTGTCATTTTGGGTATATAACTTGGGTTAATTTAATCAAAGATATTAGTCCACTTTTGATTTTCAAGTTCCAATATATATCTTTTGAGAATAAATTATAAACATTTGACATTAATAAAAGGATTAGTAATAGTTGGATTGTTACAAGTTTTCTTTTTATAACATGTTTGAAAAAATAATCTAAAACAAATTTAATAGCACATTTTTATTAAATCAACCTCCATTTATAGTCCAGTATGTATCCGACTCAACTCGGAAAAAAGTTATTTCTTAAAATTCTTATCATCTTCCCGATTAAATACCAATGGACTAATATATGAAGATTTACATTAGAGGACATCTAGTCTTCCCAAGGATCACTTTCTGTCCTTACTTCCGATGGTTCGATAACTTGGGTCTCCGAACTATCATCGTTGCCGGTATTGGTTTCACCAGCACTAGCTTCTGATGCTTCAATCTCATCGGATCTACCCCATCTTCCTCCAAGTGCCATTGCCATCATCTCATATATCTTGTTACCAAACTCAGCAGGGCTATCAGGCTGCACAATGAAAAAGAGGAATTTAAGAACAATATGATATACAAAAACCTGCAAATATGTTGGAGCTAAATCAAAGGATTTCTATCCACTTACAGAGAAACCACTGGATATCAATGCTGTATCATACAGCAAGTCAGCAGCTCTCTTGGCATCACTGCTTTCGGGTGCATTCTTGCATGCAGCCTGCAAACGGAAATAACCGATATTAATATCGTAGCGATACCCTCAAACGAGAAACATCTTATATCAAGTTTAACAAAAATGTTCGTACATTCAAGTCCTTAATAATAGGATGATCTGGATTGATCTCTAGTATCCTCCTTCCCCTCATAAACTCCAAACTTGCGGTGTCTCCGAGAGCTTGTGCTTTCATCAACCTTAAAATGCATTGAAAATGTTAGTAGAAGAATATGTTTCATGTATGCCTATTGACTTGTATTGAGAAGTAACAGAAAATTGCTTACCTTTCCATGTTGGCTGACCATCCAAACTTGCCAGAAACAAGCACACACGGTGATGAACTTAGACGCTTCGAGATTTGGACTTTGGCCACCTTGTCTCCCAGTTGTTGCTTTACCCAATCACAGAGAAGATTGTATTCTTGTTTGGTTTCCCTCTCTTTTACCTCATCTTCATCACCTGGAATGACAAAAAAAAAATCAATCAGGAATGAAGAGCAACAGAGTCGGATCACACCTGAAACAAATATATAAGTGAAAAGAAAATCAGAAAACTAACCAAGTTCCAAATCTTCCTTGCTAATATCAACAAATTTCTTTTCTTTGAAGGTCTGCAGATTTTGGATGGCAACCTCGTCGATAGGCTCAATTAAATAGAGAACCTTACAAAACAAGGAGCTAGATCGGTTATCATGGAAAATTGAAAGCAAAAAACTTCGAATCACAAAACATGAACTACAAATTCCATGTTTGACAGCCTAAAGACAGCGCCCCAAGTTTATTATTTCGAACCTTGCAAATCCGACCCAAACTACAAACATACCTCAATGTCTTTTTGAACCAACTTCTCCAAAAATGGAGCGGTCTTGGCACTTTTCAAGCTGTCAGTTGCCAAGTAATAAATTGCCTTTTGATTCTCACTCATATTTTCAACATATGTATCCAAACTCGTCAATTCCTCTTCACTTTTTGATGTGTAAAACCGAAGTAATGGAGTTATACGCTTGTGATTACCAGTGTCTTCGATGCAGCCCAACTTTAGAAACCTGCCGAAGTTCTCCCAGAATTTTTTGTAATCCTGTAATGGAGTTTCACCATCATCTATGTTACTCACAAAGTTCAAGTCAACAACTGAGAAAGAACATATGGTGCCCCAGTGTACTCTATTACCTCTTTATTTTCACTTTCAGAAATCTCTTGAATCATGTCAAATGTTTTCCTGACAAGCCTCTTTCTCATAATTCTCACCTAACACGTAATAACCATAGAATAGTTAATATGGAAAATAACAGTAAATAGTAAATAGTTAGCAATGTTGCTCAGCACCCCAATCTGAAAATAAGAATTATATTTAAGGAACATGTGTAAACTTATGTTGATATGACTAAAAAAATGTAAACAAAATTAATCTTACAATTCGACTCTCTTGAAGGATCTCTCGAGAAACATTAAGGGGAAGATCATTTGAGTCCACAACACCCTTCACAAAGCTCAAGTATCGTGGAAACTGAAAAAACAACATTAAGGTTTAATGTAAGTTATAGCTTGACGACACAAGCAACACACACTGGACTCCACAAGTTAAAGCACCATGGTAAGTTCCCATAAAAGAAAATGACACAGCGCCATTTAGTACTCTACAAATAGAGCTATCATGTGACCAAGTTAAAACTGACCAGCTCTCCGTCAAAATCATCCGAGATAAATACACGCTTCACATACAAACGTATATTCTTTGTTTTAGAATTCGTGACATCCTCATTGTTGAGAGGGCCCATGCCAGGAATGTACAGCACACTCCTAAACTCGACCTCACCCTGCATGATTATCAGTGAAACTTTAACGGCTTTAGTAATGCAAAAGAAGCCAAATTATAAAATTGTAAATGCACACTTACCTCTGTAGTAAAGTGAGTGTATCCAAGTGGATCCAAGAACTCATTGAATGTCTTCTTGTAGAACTCATTATACTCATCCTTTTCAACTTCTTTTGGATTTCTCATCTAAACCAGATACACAAAGGACATATCCATGATGGTTTATAACAACAAAGAATATATGGAAAATAGAGATTATTCTACAGGAAAAACAGTATTTTAAAGTGCATTTATGGAGGTGACAGAACAACAAACTCACCCATATCGGTTTTGTTTCATTTGCTAATTCCCATTCCCAATACTTTTCGGTTTTAGTCGTCTTCTTTTTCTTCTCACTCTGTCAACAGGTATATAAGCCCGCTAATTAACACAATATTTTCAAAGAAGAAAGTTTGCAACAAAAATAATGCTGGAAAGCATGGCAAGGTTACCTCTGGCTTTTCTTCTTCTCCTTCTTTTGGTGTTTCTTCCTCCTCTACCTGCCCAAAGGTCGAACATATTACAAGTGGTTAAATAACTAAATTTTCCACATGTTCAGAGTTCAACTGCATATAACAAAATGGAGGACTCATTGGCATTCAGAAATTGGAAAAAAAAGCATTAATGCGCATAAGCCAGATGGTAACATCTACACACCTAACAAATTCTTTTCACAGTTTATACACACACAGTTATGAAACTCAAACATGAAGAAAATTTACTAGTTGTTTATAAAACTTGAGACATTCCATGAGGGACAAAGTAAGAACCAAGGGAGATGATGACTCCAGGAAATGGAGCGGGGCAACAAGTACTCAATTTGATAGACGTGAACTGTTTACCCTTTCTTAAAACACTAATAGAGAAGAAAATATTATACTCGGATAATAACAGAAATGCATACACTAACCTCGATTGTCCTTGATTTTTCTTGCCAAGTGTATATGGGGAAAGAAACAAATTGGGAGTAATTCTTCACCAAATTCTGAATTCTGGTTGGATCCGAGAATTCATATTTGTCATCCGACTGCAAGAGAACAATATCTTAAACCAAATTTGGCACTTAGAAGAACCGGAAGGTAAAAGGCAAAGAGGCAATTATTCCAATAAATACGGAACTCATATATCAAAATTCAAATTACCATATTCTAATATTTAACATACAAAAGGAAATAGTTAAACGCAGATATTCAAACAAGATGTAATGGATTAAAAAGAAATATCAGGTAGAGTACCCTTAGATAAAGAGTAATTTGTGTGCCACGGTTTAGAAGCTTTTCAGGATTGGTTTCCTCCTTGATAACATATGAGCTACTGTCTGCTACAGCTTCCCAAACATATTGCTTCTCTGACCTTGGGCTCTTTGTGGACACAACCACCTAATTAAGAATAATTTAAGCAAGCAAACCCAATTAGCGCCAAACATGAAAATTATTGGTACGAAAAGAAAAAGCTTCAAACATGAAGAGAAAGATCATAATGCAAAATATCAATTAGGCAGACAATATGTTACCTTCTCAGCAACAAGAAAAGCAGAATAGAAACCAACACCAAATTGTCCAATCAAGCCATTGTCTGCCCCTAGATCCTTATTTTCCTACAGAGAATCAGATGCTAAATAAGTCACCAAAAACAAAAAACTGCAACTTGAAAATAAATGCGAAAGAGGTTACCTTAAGAGCCTTAAGAAATTTTGAAGTACCGCTTTGTGCAATTGTTCCAAGACAGTCAACGAGCTCGTCTTTTGTCATTCCAATGCCTGTATCTCTGCAAATCCATGAAAAGAAAACAATTAAAGAAATAAATCGTCCATCATTTCAACTTTTATTTTTCAGTATGAGAGGCCACAAACAAACGTACGTGATAGTGATAGCCCCATTATCAGGGTCAGTTTTGATTCGTATCTCGAGTTCCCCGGCATCTCCAAGCAGAGAAGGCTCAGTCACACTCAAGAATCTAAGCTTATCTAAAGCATCACTCGCATTACTAGAGCACAAAAACAAAAATTCTTCATAAGTTTCAATTGAAAACCAGGAGTCCTCATTAAAAAAATGAACTTTGGTTATTCATGATAAAAAGTTCTCACCTTACAAGCTCTCTCAAAAACACCTCTTTGTGGCTATACAGACTATGAACAATCAAATCCAACAATCGACTAACCTGCAAAGCATAGGAGAGAAACCATCGATATAAACAAACACATGCCATTAATAATAATAAAAAGAGCATAAGAAGGAAAAGCAAAAGAAACCCACCTCGGCTTGGTACTCAAATGTCTCGCCGGAGGTCACCTCGGGCTCTTCCTCGGCAACTGCCGACGCCACACACTGAACCGCAATGCTGTTGTTTTTCTTCTCGAGCTTCCACCTTAAACCGGAGGAAGAGAAGGCATTGTTTTGATGGGGTAAGAAAACGCTTCTGGAAGTGAAGGCCTTGTTGGGGTTTGTTGTTAAAGGGAGAGAAGTTAAAGATGGGATAGCTAAAATTCTGGTTAGAACTGAAGCCATTGAAGCTAAGCCCGAGAGAAACAGAGAGCTGGTAAATGAATAACAAAGATGATAAAGTCTAGACTTTTTGGGAATAAATAGTAAAACTAGAAACCCTACTGAAAGGGGTTTCACTGAATGAGTGGAAGATTCTAGAACTCAGGAAAAGAGGCCTAAGAATCTGCCATTTTAGAAACCATTTTATCCCTTTGTTAGTACAATATCTAAATCCCTCAATTAATTCTTCAATCTCTAATGTGAAGATAGGTACACTCAAATATATCATGATTTTCAAAATATGTTAATTAACTGAATTAATTATTAAAAAAATTATATATAATTAATTATCATTTTTTTGGGGATAAGTTGGGATTTATTTATCTAAGAAGCAGCAAAAACGCTGCTACAAGAAACATACAATCACTCCACCAAAGGAAGTCAAAATCCTCAAACTATACACAGGTCATGGTTAACATCATCACTTCTAACACTTTTCCTATACATTTTCATTCTAACAATTCCTTTGAATCGATAAATTGAATTGGAGGATTCATTCTATAAGGAGTACCTAACTTAGGGATAGTAAAATTAGATTGGATTCTAAAATTTAATTCGACTCGAATTTTTTAAAATTTTGAATAAATTTTGAACGATCAAATATGACTCATTAATTTAACTAATTTAATTTTGTTTAATTTTAACTAGACTCGATCGAATACTCACCTCTAATTCCTCCCAATTAAGTTTGTTTTTGACCAAATTTAAGTCGCATTGTTCTTCCACCATTGTAGAATATATATGTTGTAACATCTTCAATACCAGGTTAGTGACTAAATTGTAAGGTTTCAAAATTTGGTGATTAAATTAGAATAATTGAATGGTTTAAAGACTTATATGAGAAATGTGGTGTAGGATCAAATTGAAAAGAATGAGGAATGAAAGGATAGTATGGTCATTTGCAAAGAAAAATATTTAAGAATGATATATATAGATACACGTGGAAGGAAGGAAACAAAGTTTAGAGGTTTCCAGAGTTCTCTTCCTTTCTCTTCTTTTTCACGTGTGAAGCCAAGCAAATGTGAGTTTTCTCTTGAACTGATTATGTGCTGAAATTTAAGTTTGGTTTTGATTATTAGATGCTAAGTAAGCTTAAGGAAAGCTTAATTTGCTTTAAAACAACAAGATGAAGAGTGTAGGAGGATTTAAAGATGTGGAGTTCTTGAATTAAATTTAGAAATAGAGTTCATAATTAGAATAAGAAGTTGAATTTGACTTGTCAAAGGGTTAATTGAGAAGTTAGAGGTGATAGAATTGAATTAAGAACACGTGGAAAATTTGATGAAATTCTTTGATTCAAGAATTATGGTGAATTATGAGAGATGGTGAAGTGTTATAAGAAGGTTTACATATGCATAGATAAGTTTTAAGGTATAAGGAGGGGTAATAAGTAGAATTTGAGGACAAAGTAAGACATTTTCGTGCTCAAAATGGAATTTCTGGGTTGTTTGCATCGATGCATCTTCAATGCGTATCGATGCACGGGTAGTGCATCGATACACCCCAACATCGAATGTAATTTGTGCACTGATGCATAGGTAGTGCATCGATGCACACGTTAAGGAATGCATCGATACACTGTAGGGTGTATCGATACATACCTTCATTAAGAGATGAAATTAGCCTTTCTTTTAGTCTAAGGAATAAACAATTAACGTATATCAAGTGGAATACTGATATGCATCAATGTATAATTATGTAGATATTGAACGTGACTTTGCTTCAAAGTAATCGAAGGGTTAGAATTGATTCAATTCAAACAAGGCTAAGGTGAGTGCATATGCATAACATGATTATGTTAGTATTGTAACACCCCCAACCCGTATCCGACCCGGATACGAGTCCGAAGTATCACATTGACTTTTCAAACATTTACTCGTATAAAATAGTGAGTAATTTAAAACTTTTGTACATGTAACTTATTCAAAATATTTCCAGAACTATTCAGAGCTTACATGTTTTTGACAAAACCGATCAGAGCATATACAATTCAAAAACATTAATTACGTGCCAACTATTTGCAATGTACAAAATACATCTAATTCAAGAGATCTTTTCTGATCTGATCTTCGGTAAGAAGTAACTGACCTGTCTTGTTCCTCTTTATTTCTCTTTTCGCTTTCCATACCTACGTGTGAAACAATCACACGCTAAGTCGAAAACTTAGTGAGGCATAACGACTTATAATGCACTTCATAACATATATCAATACATGCATGTTCTGTTCTATCATGTTATACCAATTCCATGCATTCTTCGTATCATATAAAATCATATCAGATTAATTACAGTAAATACATAATTACAGTAAATACATACATACACATAATTCATCATTAACAGTTTATCATGTAATCACATACTTTTATTGTTAACCTTTTCAATCAAACACTATACACACACAACATCATATGGTTCACGTAACACATTTCAAACCACTTATAAACCCATCGTATACATATCACATTCAGTATGCTTGTTTAATCACTTTATTAGCCCATGTACACTAGTGAGAACTTAAGGTATGTGAGTACATTGAGGTTGTGCACACATATGCTGTCACCACAGCTCGATCAATGTCCCGAAGGACCAGTCCATAGATTCTGAAGAACCTAGGTAATCAGTCCATATGTCCCGAAGGACATAGGTAAACAGTCCATATGTCCCGAAGAACATAGGTAAACAGTCCATATGTCCCGAAGAACATAGGTAAACCCTCGACCCTTGGCATGCCAACTATACCCCTAGCTCTCATATCACATAACATGGGCATTATCATTTATAACAGTTCACATTACTTATTCATATGCTTTCTCTTATAAACACATATCTTTTCTTTTCAGTCACGTATCACATGTACGTGTAATCATTGATCTCATAATCACATGTTCCTTCTTTTCTGTCACATACCACATGTATGTGTAAACATATGTCTAATATCATATGTTGCATGTAATCACATAGATCTTATCTCATAACATATACTTGTTTTCACATATATATTTCATATCATTTCTTATACCATCACATAATCCATTTAACATACATAACATATCATGTAACATTATAATAGAAATACATATAAGTCATATCACTTAGAGCACATAAAAGAACAGATCAATTCATATAATCAAGCATACATACATGCATATTCAACTCATGCCTTTAATCATGAATTCATGTGTAACACTTCAGGAAATAGACTCATCGCAAGTCTTATTTCCATCGCACATCATATACTATTGAATATGCACTCACCTGGCTTCACTAGTCAATTCAAATCTCTTATCTTTCCCTTTGATCGATCTTACTTGTAAATGATTCTGGAACTTGGTTAGGCTCTGAATCTACATAATTATACATTTTAAGACAATCATTAGATACCTACACCTTGTAATTGGATACTAGCAACTTAAACGAACTTATTAAACCAATATGCACATTTTTCCTTTAGGGGGAATCGGTTCCCTACTATGGGGGTATCGATTCCCTAATGACATTCTGGAAATGTTGTTCGTTTGAAGGGGTATCGGTTCCCCTTGAATGGGTACCGATTCCCCTTGCCCAGAAATCATATTTTCATCCCGAAAATTACTTCATTTTCTCTCAAACACTTCAATATATCATCCCCTTTTCATTCTTAACTCTAGTACACATACTTAAACCAATCTATATTCATTTATTTCATCTTAAACCTCAAAATCCTATCTTCCATATGTAATTCAAGAATCATACCAAATTTTCTATATGTTCTAAATCCAATTATATCACTCCAAATCTCTTAATTTAACTATTGACAAGTCAAATTTAACTTCAAATTCTACTTATCAATTCATTTCCAAAATTTCATATAAAAACTCCAAATCTTTAATCTCTCTTAACCCCTCCATCCTTTGTTTTTAAGATGATTTAAGCTTTCCTTAAGCTTAGTTATCATCTAATAATCAAAACCCAACCTTAAAATCAACAATTCATTTATAAACAAAGAAACTTACCTTTGGCTTGCTCTCCCACGTATGAAGAAAGAAGAAAGGAGAAGAGCACTCTGGAGAGTTCTCTCCCTTTTCACGTGTATATAATTCCTTGAATGATCAAATGACCATTTAACCCTTAATTTCCTTTAATAATTACTAAATAACCTTCAATATATATTCAAATAATCATTGAATTATTTCATTCTTCTACTTTAGTCATCAAATTCTGAAACTTTACAATTTGATCACTAACCCGGTATTGAGGATGTTACAAGTATATTCAGTTCTAGACTTGCGATAAGTCTATATTTAATATCTTGATACATGATTCATTCAATATTATGAAACATGATATAATTCATACCATATGCATTATGTGATATGCTTGAAATGAACATGCATGAAAAGTTACATGTCTATGGGATATACTATGTGAATTGTGGTAAGTCCATTTTCCATATTAGAGCTTATATATATGAGTGTATGTGTCATATGTGATTGAATGAGTTACATGATATATATTAGGTATGTGATGTGTTTGTTATGGTTTATATGTATACATGAGCAGATGTATTGACATGTTACAATATATATATTATATGAGTTGTGTAAATATATATATATAAATGTGATAAATATGTGAAATAGTTAAAATGATCTATATGATTACCTAAGAATATGAAATAAGAGGTATAGTAAGAACATAAGAAAGAATATGAAATATATAACATATGAATATGAAATCATATGAGAAGTGCCATGAATTATACGAAAAATAAACTACGTGATTACAAATATATGAAAATATGCTAGTGTGATGGGACATAGAAACTAGTATAAGTGATGTATATGTTTATATAAGTTATAAGATGATAATATGTCATATCATAAATTAAACTGAATGATATGTGATTAGATGAGAAATGAACACGAGATATACGGATATGACTGAAATGATATGGTTATATAATATGAGAAAAGGTATATGTGATAAGATGATCATATGAACATGTGATAAAGAGCTATAGGAAATAAATATGTGATATGAATGTGTGAATATATAATAAGGTAAAAGATAATGCCCATGATATGAGTTATGAGAACTGTAGGTATAGTTGGCATGCCAAGAGTCGAGAGTTACCTATGTCTTTCGAGACATATGGATAGATTACCTATATTCTTCGGAACATATGGACAAGATTACATATGTTCTTCAGAACATATGGACAGGATTACATATGTTCTTCGGAACATATGGACATGATTACCTATGTTCTCTAAAACATATGAACAGTTACCCATGTTCTTCGGAACATATGGATAGGTCATTCGGGACATTGATTGAGCTGTAGTGATAGCATATGTGTGCACAACCTTATAGTACTCGTATACATGGAGTTCTCAATAGTGTATATGGGCTTAAACAGGACATAAAGAGTATGTATATGATTATATTTTAATATGGTATTATTATGATTTACATTGTTTCATATGTGGTATGATAAATGATGATATGATAGTATAATTGCATTTAGATAGTAGATTGCATGTTTAAATTTGTAGTAATTCTTTACTATGTAATTATGCCTCACTAAGTCTATGACTTAGCGTGTAAACGTTTTTACACGTAGGTTCTGAAGAGCAAGAGGATCAAGAATAGGAATTTGCAGAGCAGCATATCTCCACTCAGCGATTAGATCAGAAGTAAAGTCACAGTATGTATTTTGTTATATATAATGTGTTGGCATGTAAGAAATATATTGGTTATAAATGCTCTGATCGGTTTTTGTCTTGTTTGGTCAACTTATGTAAAGTGATAATATATTTTTAATGAAAGTTTAAAAGTTCTTTGGTTTTCTTTAAAAAAGTCAATTGGAAAAGTCAATTGGAAAAGTCAATGTAACACCTCAGATTCGTATCCGAGTCGGATAAGATTGTGGGTGTTACATATGTAACTTCAATTTATATTTTTAACAACAAAATTTACTCTTTTTGGAATTTAGTTCATAAGCTTTTGTATTTATTCAATTTTATTTTTTATTAATTTTTTATAAATTCTTTCTTTATATTAATATTTTCACTCCTTTATGCTTCTATTGGTATTTTGTTCCCAAAATACATTCTTTAAAAAAAGTAAAATTATAAATATATTTTATAATTTTAGACGATGTTCGATTTATTAAATAATATTACAATATGAAAAATAATACATATATATATCTTATATGGTTAGATACAATCTTTAAATTAGACTAATCAATATAATATTGATTAGATACAATATGAAGAATATGATATTTTTAGTTTTAACTTAAATGTTATTTTGTCTAAGCTAAATAATTTAGGTTCTTCATAAGATTTTGAGTTGTAACCCATTTATATTGTTTATTAACCGTATATTAAATTATATTTTAAAATTTTCGAACATAAGGTTCCATCAAGTTTAACTTGTATAAGTGTTTACCGTTTGTTCATAGAAGGGAACGTGTGAAGTAGCATTTCTATATAAATAATATATTTCTTACCGCTGAGATGATTATAAGATAAATAATATTAATTTTTTAATTATTAACGGTAAACATATTTTAGGTAAAATTAATCTAGTAAGGTATATGGATTTTTATTTAGCCCATTAGGACAAGTCAATACTTATTTTGAGATCTATAGTCTTTTCTACAGTGACACGGAACTCGTCACGTCGTGATAACGAGTTCCAATAAAAAATATTTTTTATTCTAATTTTTTACCTCGATGTGATAGATTTTAATAAAAAATTATATTTTATTTGAACTCATCACATCCACGTGAAGAATTACAATAACACTGTAAAAAATGTCGTAGATCCCAAAATAAATTTTGATTTGCTCTAATGAGCTAAATAAAAATCCATTATCTTTATTGGGCTAAATCACCCTATATTTTACAGATATAATATTTTAAATTTAAAATTTATAAAAAAAATAATACTCATTTTTATTATTAATAAATACTCGATCAATTAAATCTAATTAATATATTTTTTTCTCTATACGTATTCATCTCTCTGCCCAGTATCCCTTTCAATGTCCAACTCCATCGTTTCTTCCCCAAATACGGCAAAATTAGCTCAGTAAGTTATATGTGTTTTTTATTTAGTCTATTAGGGTAATTCAATATTTATTTTGAGATCTATGATCTTTTTTACATTAACACAGAACTCGTCACGTCGAGGTAACAAATTCTAATAAAAAATATTTTTTATTATAATTTTTTATCTCGATATGATAGATTTTAATAAAAAAAGTATATTTTATTCAAACTCATCACTTCAATGTGACGAACTCGAATAAAAACTATTTTTTTATTGAAACTCATTATATTAACGTGCCGAGTTCCAATAATATTATAGAAAATGTCATTGTTTTGAAAATCGGACCGGACCGGCCGGTTCAACCGGTTCAACCGAGAATTGTTGCTTAGTACGATTCAAACTAAACCGGTTGAACCGCTACTAGTTAATCGGCCATAACCGTTGAACCGTTCGAACTGGACCGGCTGAAAACTGGGAAAAACCGTCAATTTTGTTTTTGTTTTTTTTAAAAAATTAAACCAAGCCACGTCGTTTGTTAAACGAGCCAAGTCGAACTCGAGTATTGCTGAGCTCGACTCAAACTTTAAAAGTAAGCTCAACTCGACTCAAACTCACGAACTAAAAATTATCAAGTTCAACTCGAACTCGAAATATAATATTGAAACTTGAACTCGAAAAGGCTTGAACTCAAAAAAAATTTAGAAGCTCGATTGAAGCCTAAAATTCGAGCTTAATTGAAGTGAAAGAATAGTTCATTCTATGCTCACCAAAAGTCTTCATGATTTTGAATGTCAAATTACCTCTATTATTTGTAGAAGTTAGTTGGGATGCTATTATATGTTTCTTAGCCATATGAGATTGTTTTGTTCTCATATTTTTATTCTTTATACTTTTGGGATGTTCTTCTATGTTTCTTAGCCATGTAAGATTGTTTTTTTTTTAAAAATTAAACAAAACAATATCATTTTGTTATGATTTTTTTAGCCCCAAATTTATTTTTTAATTATAGTTATATAATTATATTATTATTTAATATGTTTTACCTTAAATATTATGTTGTAGTTAATTTGAATCATTTTGTTTCACTTGGTTTTATAGTTTTTAACTCATATATGTTATGACTTGCTTTGAATATGACTTGTAATATACAAAATTATTTTTTATTAAATATTTTTAGTATTTTTATTTAATTTTTTAAATAATTATGACGTCGTCCGGTTCTTCCGATCAGTCGGATCAATTCGATCGGTTGAACTAGTGAACCGATAACATGACCGATTAACTAACCGGTCCGATTATAAAAACCGTGAAAAATTTCATATATCCTCAAATAAATTTAATTTACCCTAATGAAATAAATAAAAAAAAAAACTCTTTATTTTTATTGGGTTAAATCAACCCAAAATACTGTTCCGTACTATATTTTGTGGTGGGCATGTGCAATCGCACATTGTTCAAGGTGCGTGTGAAAATATGTTTGCCGGTGGTGGCTGGCGGGTTTAGACCCACCGAATCATTCAATCAGCGTTGGAAAATACGCTTTGAGCTAACCTAACTAAGCTATTTCTACACCGCTTTTCATGCATGCTGTCAACTAAGAGGGATAGGCTTCACAATTCTGTGCTCTCTTTTCTCTAAATTCTCTTTAAAAAGATTGCCCTGGCTTACTTTAGGTTAAATTACATTGTTAGTCAATATATCACTTACCATTCATAACCATTTATACAGAGTTGGAAAAATGAATTTATATTATTTTGTATCTCCTCCGGATTTTTCTATAAATACTATTAATCCTGTGTTGATCGAAGTTTTAGAGAAATTTTTCTGTTGATAAAAACTTTTGAAATTCTACATTATTCATAATATTAGAATCTCTTGATATGATCATTGATAGATCCATATGATTCGTCATTATCAAATTCGCTATACAACAACCGTATCTATTTATCAAGTCAATTTACGTATAGTCATCATGATCATAAATCTTCATGTCAACCTACGAATAGCCATCATGATCCTAGACCTAACACTAACACTAAGGATCAATATATAAATCATCGTGCATAGTTAGAGAAGAGGCTTGAAATCTTTTTTCTTCCCCGATTTTATATTGTCCTTTGTTTTCAATTGATCACCATTCTTCGTTAAATTAAAAAGAATAAACTACATACAACCGTCACAATTCATATTTTATCCTCAACAAATATTGTATCCAGAATTTTAATTCGTATTCTTTTAGAGTATGCAATGTATTCCTCATAACTTAGGTGTATATGAAAACATTTGAAACGGCTGAACATGATTCAAAAGAAGGTTCAAGTAATAGGGTATGGGGATAAGTGAATAGTAGCCAACTCATTTGGGAAATCACGATCGAAACCATATATCAGTACATCTCAGCTCGGGGCAAACAAACACAAAAACCTAATATTTCTCGTTGAATGCATGGCGGCAGACAGGCGCGAAACACACGTACCTTGCATTCTACGTTATCTAAAGCACCACCTGTATCACCATGCACAGATTCATGGACCACTCTTTCAAATCCCTTAGTTCATTACCATAGCTTCGATGTTTTCCACGCAAATTACCCTCTCTCTTAGACCCCCAAAATTTTCATCTTGGACCTTGAAACAAGTGCTTAAATTCACTACAAATTCTAAAAGCATATAGGTTTCAACTTCAATCTCGTTGACACAAGTGGGTGGTGATACATTGGAGGGTTCAAATGATGTGTATGTATGTATATATATATATATATATATATATATGTGTGTGTGTGTGTAATTTGAAAAGCTAGGCAGATGTTGGAAACTATAGTCCTAGGCTACTAGCTTTGACTTGGGTTCTTGCTACATAGGTGCTAAAATCTATATTTGACCTGCTTTTTAGCTTTAAAACTGTAAATTTGCTCCTGATTTTCATTTCTGAAGACAAATGGCTGCTGAGAAGATCATAACATGCCTTTTCATTTTAGTTCTATTTGCTGCATTCATCTCCTTTGCCCAAGCCAACCAAGGTACATAACACCATGTCCAATTCTTTTTCATTTGAGCATTTGTACGCATGTCACTCCCTAGTTTTAGGGTTTCTAAAGTTGATGAACTTAATTAGTTTTTTCTCATTGTTCCCAGATTCAAACCATGAGACAGTTCCTACCGGAAAGGTAATGAACTAATAACAATTTATCTATGCATGATAAATGTTGCTTATATATGATGAAAAAAAACTCTGGGGTTTAGCAGGAGCTAGTGAATGGTGCAAACAAGAACTGGCAAATTAGAGGGAGAAAAATGGTGCAAATGAAGAAGCTGAAGGATGTGAAAATGAGAGGGTCGACTGCTACAGAGTCATCAAGGTGTGGCGGCAATGGTGATCATCAGTCAGGTTTCCTGGATTTCAATGTTGACTATCATTCACCAAGGCACCATCCTCCTAAGAATAACTAATTAGGCAACATTTATATATATATATAGTAGTTTTCTTCAACAAAGAATGTTGAAATGAAGAACAGCTTTAATATCAGGAATGCTTTTTTTGCTGTTAAAATACAGTGTGATCTGGGTTTTGCTTATATCCATGAATGTTAAAACATACTACTGTTAAGCATTTCCTTTATTATTATTATTATTATTATTATTATTTACTTTCTATTATCTATCTATACTCTTCCCATCATTTTCTGTATTCCAATAATATCAGTTCGCTAGGCCACAGCCTATTGTTTGGCTTTTTTGGGCCAATAAGGATAACGGGTTTTTATTTACCCATTGGGGCATCTCGGTTTATATTTTTGGATCTACGATATTTTTTTTATAGTGTTATTGGAACTCATCACATCGAGATGATGAGTTTTAATAAAATATAATTTTTTTTTAAAATATATCACATCGAAGTAAAAAATTAAAATATTTTTTTATTAAAACTCATCACCTCGACGTGACGAGTTTCATGTCACTGTAGAAAATACCATATATCTCAAAATAAATGTTTACTTACCCTATTAGCCTAAATAAAAAACATATATACCTTACTGGGTCAATTTTACCCCTATTATCTGGTGGCCCAAATAAAATTGAGTTCTGTTCTGAGAAAATGGTCTGTTGTTGAAATTTTAGTGGGCTGAAGACTAGGCCTTGCTGATCCCAAACCATGCATGAATGTTTAGTTTTATGATTTATGTATGGGGTTTGGGTGTGCTTCATCTTATCAATCTGTAGTTTCTCCTGCTAGAGCTTATGATTGATGACACTCCACTCTTCTCCACTCCTTTGTCTGCATTTGCTTCTCTCCAATCTATAATCATTTTATCTTCAACCACAATCAATGCAAATTAATATTATTAAGGGTTAATATTAGATGCACCGTCAATTTGTTGAAGGAAATAAACAGGTTATCTTGACAGTTGATGATTCAATTTGTATGATTTTGGCAAAGCACTATAGCTGGTAGTTATGGGTCGTTGGTCGATATCAAAATCTTTTATCTTCAAAATAAAAATGAGAAAAAGGAAAAGCGTAGGTCAAGGTGCCCATTCCTTTTTGAATCTTGGTTGAGAGGTTTTATAATGATTCTAGTACTAGTGTCATATATAAGTTCATTATAATTACTCGTAAATTGACAGGTTCAATAGATATAATCGACTGATAGTAGATTTAGCTCTGATAAATTACATAGGTCCGTCAAAAATTATATTAAGAGATCACGAATTTTCAAGAGTGTCAGATATTTGAGGTCCTTTCATCTAGAAATGTTCTCTTTAAGACTTTTATTATGAAATAATTTCCTGAAAATCTTGAAATGCAAAAATCAATTTTACTAAAGAAATTTGAAAAGGATACAATAAGTATATAAATATGTAGGAAATGGCAGCAAGATAGAACAAGAACCTGTAGGGTGTTATGCGATTAGGGTTCCACGTCCAACTCTATCCAGAACAGTTTTGAAGCTGTTATTATATATTATAGTCTTATATTAAATGCAGTGTATAACTTTTAGGTCAAATTGAGCAGCTTCATGATTGAAGTTTTAGGTTAAACGGCCTATTCTGATAACAAAAACTTCACCAAACCTGCTTCATCGTGTTTGGTCTGAATTAGATAGACTTTGGACCGTTGGTTCATACACGTAATCCTGACTAATGATGTTGAATTATACAGTTCTCACATTTTGTTTCTAGATATCATCGTAACTTATAGATTATTATTCTATAGATTATTAGTAAAAACAAAGTTTTGATATTATATTAAAAATAACTTCGGATGATCGATTGAATAATCAATTCGATTCATTCTTTTTGAAATATTTTAATTCTCAACGTTTTAATTTTGATATAATGTTTTTGTAATTGGTGGCGTAGTATAATCTATGTCAAAATTAATATATAGTAATGTACCATTCATATATAAATCTCATTGACCATTATAATAGAATATTTCATCGATAAAACAACAAAATATTTATAAATGAATATTGAAAATTGTGCGTCTTATATTAACTAATAAATAAAACATATTGAAGCATTAATGCAACAAATATAAACTTGGAGAGTCTTAATATACTATTTAATATTTGAGAAATAAGTTGAAACAAGGAAAAGTAACCTCCAAACCATTATAAACTTCCCAACAACAATCCACAGGAAAAGAAAGCTTCAACTTGCTGATTTGTAATTTTAAAAAATGTTTAAAGCATTTACATTTAATACTTATATTCAATACATATTTAAACGTAAACATATTAAAGTTCTTTAGAAGTTATATATATGAAAGTATAGAGCATCAACTATTTGCGTCTGATAACGAATAAGTGACAGTTGTAAACAATGAAAAAGAAGGGAATGGAATGGGAAATGAGCAAAGAGATATGATGGAAGATGAGATAAAAACCCTACCAAAGTGAGTGTTGAAAATGAAAAAGAGAAAGGATCTGTGTTCGCATGGGACCCCAACATTATGTGATGTTTCCTTTGTCGCTTTCTAATAATATTTATTTCCACCTTGCTTTCAATGTCAGCATCGACCATCCAATTCTTGCTTTAATCAAATCATCTACACATTTTAACCTAGATTCCATCGTTTACGACTCACATTTTAATCAAGTATGGTTCTTAAGATGGCCTATTGAGCCCTGATTTGGGAATTTTTTAATTTTCCTTATTGAAATCCAATTTGGCTCGGATATATTACAAAGTAATCATTCTTAGTGTAACAAATTAATACGAGTCTTGTTTTGAGAGTGATCTTAGTAGTAAAAGAGATTCAAACAGTTGCATCAATGTGATACGTACATTGTTAATAATTAATAGAGATTCTTAACAAACATTACCTTAGAATCACCCTAAACTATTAAAAAAAACCTTGCTAAATTACCAATTTCACACTTATACATAAATCTCTTATACATCGTAATAACTTGCGAGTTTAAGTTTAATTTCAAGCATAATCATGTAATGCCTTCTCGTGAAGCATAACTTAACACCTCTAAAAGTTTCTAACATGTAATATCTAACAAGGTAATCGTCCATCGATAGTATTGTACATAAACCAATTAAAATTTAAGTTAATATTTATCAAATCATACTATAATACCCTTCCCCTAAATTTAGATGTAAGGGCATATTAAGTCCCTATTCATTTTAATATTAATTAAATTAAACTTTTAAATTTTTGATATGTTCTTATTTCTTACAATTTAAACAATTATAATCCCTGTTTGATTTGATCATAGAGACATAATATACTTTTACCCAGGATGTTGGTGGGAAATTCTTTTCAGGAATAGAGGCTAAATTTTCTTTAATTTTATAGAAATGGACAACCATGATATGTTGTCATGACATAATAAGAATCGTCTTTTTGGAAATAAAATAGCATTGAAACAAAGAAGGAAAGTAGTTTTAAAGATGATAAAATCAACCCCCACAGATTCAGTCGGCAGCGAATAAATACAAAACAAAAGAAATGATATCCACAGTAATCTAATGGATGCCAGCCATGTGTTCTTGAATCATTCACACAGAATACGTCATGAAAATTATAATACAGCGCCATATACTGACGTACAAAGATTGAAAGATTATTATTTGATACACTCATGTAAACTCTTACACTACCTGAAGAATCCGTGCTGAACCAAGGTAAAAATTAATCTCAAATGAATGAACTTGAAAGAAATATTGAGATGTTCTCATTTGCAGAAACTTTTCTAATATTATTTATCAAACAAAGTCTATAAGGAGATGATTCAAGTGAAAGAAAACAAAATCCAAAGGGCTTAGAGAAGAAATAAAACCAATTTCTACTAGTTGAAAACAAGCCAAAGAATATTTACAGCAATTCCTCGTAAAGATATGCTCCCAAACTACAACATTCCCAGGTCCTAACAAATCCTTTCATCCCAAACTGCAAACAAATCCTTTCATCCCAAACTGCAAACAAATCCTAAAACTCTTTATTTCATCTCTCAGTAAACTCGACTACCTGGTATCGATTTTCGGATATCTCGATATATCAAAACTGGCATGAAGTACCGAGCCTCTGTATCTGCTTCTGACCTAAAGTAACTGATTTTCGATTTTCGAATGCTGGGTAGAGCAACTCTTGGAACTTCTCCAAGAAGAAGGTCCATTCCTCCTCGTTCATATCAGCTAGAATCACAAAGCTCACACTTCCTGGAAGCTGCTCATTTGCACTCCTATGGCCGGACGAGCTATTGAGATAACCATTTTCTTGTTTTGTTCCAGAAAATTTTGAGTACTTCTGGCTTTTGTCACCTAAGCTGGTATTTTTGAGTGACATTGAAAGCTTTGAAATGGATGGGATCGTTCTGATGGATTTGAAAGCAGAGAAACACTGCTGCTCGGCTTCCTCTTCAATTTCCTCCTCATCTTCCTCAAAGCATTCATCCAGCCTTGAAAGTGGGAAATGGTTACTCACAAATCCATTTCCCAAATGGAATGGTGTTCTAGTCATAAAATCATCTGTAGCCATTTTCGGGTTTAAGTCCAACTCCGGTAAGTCGATATCGAATTGGAATTCGGCATCTCGGACATCAGACTTGGGAGATGACAACTTTCTCTCTGCTATCAACTTCCTCGCCTCAAGACAAACCACTTCTAGCTCACTAGGTTCCTCCTCTCCAGCCTGTAATTCTCGACTCATCATTTCACCAATTTCGGCAAGACAGAGACCAAAAGCTGCAGCTTCCTTGAGGAAAATTGTGCAAAGTACCAGAACTCGTAGGCAAGCCTCCCGTATCATGGGGAGTTCCCTTCGCAGCATTTCACAATCCTTAATAGGATCAAGATTTTGTATATACTCAAGCTCATCCTCAGAGAAAGGAATCGAAGCTTGAGGCCAATGAATCCACTCAAAGTACGGATCCTCCAAAGTTTCAGGCAAGCAAAGGCCGTGATCAATAGGAATGAGTTCCATTTGACCAAACCTTCCAATGCCATCAAGCTTCCGCACTAAAAGGTTTCCTGCATGCCTGTCGGTGTTAAATATCCTTATATCGAGTATTCCAATGCGGTGCACAGAAGAAACGGGGAAGCTTGAGGTTCCATGATCACTAGCATCAAAATCATGCTGTACAAACTGTTGGAATGACGCAATCTTGCTAACCAGACTCTTCTTGTTAGGCCTATTCCCATTCATGCCATCATTGACATTGAAGACTGAGTGCGTAACCTTCACCAGCGCTGTTGGTGGCACATTGGTAAAATGACCATAGTCAAGAAGGTAAGCCACAACTTCTCTGAAGCCTGTCTCCCCTACACGAACAGAGCGTTTCAAACCTGGTTGACCAAGGTCTTTCCCAACAAAACCTTTTGGATTGTTTGGTGCAAAAGGTTCTTCATCTGTTGGCTTCACAATCGCGACACTCTCACCTCTAGGGTTCCTAAAATAGTAAGCACCCCCAAGACCACTACGAACAGGAAGTGGATCAATACCCATCTTAATTGCCTTAACAATGTCCTTCACCACCACCTTTAATACATTAAAGCTATCGGAATGTCCCAGTATCTCGATAGGACCACTTCTATCTCTCTGCTGGAGATCCTTTCCATTAGGCGAAAGACAGGGAGTAGAGGAGCTTCTGTGCACACAGTTCCTTGTTAGGAGAAGCGGAGTATCATTCCGAACGACATCAAGATCATTCTTTAACACCATATCTCCGAACGTCAGTGAGCTTTCCCCAATAGGGAAATTAAGGGCAACTTGCAACCTTCTTTTAACTGTATGAGCACTGTCACTGCGATCCAACTCCATACCCAACACACAACCATTCTCTGTTTGCACAAAAACCCGTCTCCTCCCGACAGGTTGTTTCCCTTCCATACCATTCTTCTGTAGATATTCCCCTCTAAGAGGACTTTTGAACACTGCCACTGCCATCTGAGCTTTCCGAGACATAAAACGTTGAGAAAAAAAATCACGTGTTACGTGGCAGCCTAAGGCAGAGGAGATACCAGGAGATCCTTCTTCCCCTCCGAGAAGACCCCAAACTGGGAAGCCAACAGCAAATGAACAAGAAAAAACTCCAAATTCACCAACAATCATCAATCAATAAAACCAAAACCCCAACCCTAAACTTAAAATCTAAAACAGAAAAATATAACCCAAGTGACAGAACCGGCAGATCAGAATGAAGATCTATCCTTTTACTACCTTAAATAAGCCATCTTTAGGTGAAAATCCCCCAAATGCCTGCAAAAAAAAAAACAAAAAACAAAATTTGAATAAAAAAACTCTGATTTTGATTTAATCCATAAAAGAATTACTATCAATATATGCACCATATATCACGTACATGGTTAGAACTTAGACAAACTAGTGCAAACCTAGCTAAGCAAAGTAGCAGTTACCAAAATTAATGCAATAAAGACAGCCAAAAAACAGTGAAACTAATGCAATTCTTCAATATTCAAGGAATCTAAGTAAGCTCCTAATATGAATATTAGCTTAAAAAGCATTCATAATATCAACTGAATCAAGGAAAATTAAGATTTTCAATTAACTCAACAAATATACATAAAAACAACAACAAGAACTCTCTATACAACGAATCTTCAACGTTCAATTGTACAATAAAACCCCCGGCATTGAAGCTCTAAACCCCCCCCCCCAAAAAAAATTATAACAAAAAGAAATTAAAGCTTACCAGATGTTAAAATCTGGATAAAGGGTACAACAAAACCTAGATTATATGCTATTCGATTAAAATTTGAACCTTCCCCAACAAAAATTGAAAAAAAATCTAAAAGTGATTTTAGAGTCCGAATAGATGAGATGAATAAAGAGAAGCAACAAGGGCGACTGCAAAACGAGGAAAGACTCGTTCGAATGGACTCGGTTGTCTAAATCAGGGGAGAGCTTCTTCTCTCTGTGTACGATTCTATCCTTCCACGCAGAAACGCTTTTTAACTCGGTTGCCTTACCCTTTCAGGGTTTATTAACTAACCATAGTTAGCACTATACTCTATCTACGTCTATGTTAATGTTTGTTTATAAATACTAGGATAAATTATAAAAATAGTCATCAAATATTTATGATGATTATATTTTGGTCACCAAACTTTTCACACTTACCATACAATTAGTAATTTTTTTAATTCGTTTTTATTATGGTAACTTTTATCAATTTTTAATAAAAAAAATGATATGTCACATTATTTTTTCTCTTCTCTCTCTTTCTCTTTTTTTTCCTTGATTGAATCTCTCTTTAGTTCTCAAACTCATTATTTCACCATTTCTCTCAATAACTCACAATGAATTTATCATATTAAGATAAATATATGATATCTAACTCTAAACTTTATCATATTAAGATTATTGATATGATAGCAGAGTTAAGAAACTGATATTTCTTTTCAAGCCTATAACGATTAGATTTTTACTCATGAGTCATCTATAGAGACTGTCAGTTTTGAAATATGTTAAATATAAAATTTTTTTGGAATTAATTGAATTTATTTAAAGTTTTTAAAAATAATTCAAAATCCATTAAATTAGAATTTGAACACAAAATAGTTTTTTGAGTAAGTAGTATCGATATTATTCTTACAATATCGATACTACATGCATGTGATACCAATACCAACAGTAAGAGAAGTGTTGATACTACCTAGTGTTTTCCAGAATGTTCAAATTTCAGAATGCAAAATTTGTATCGATACTCAAAGGATATCGATACAACTTTACACAGTAGTATCGATACAATGAAACCCTAATATCGATATTGATCGAGTCCAACATTCTTTAACGATTAGTTTATTTAAATATTAGAAAGATAGTACCGATACTCTTAGCATGAGTACTGATACTACTTGTTCTGGGCAATTTTATTTTTGTAAAAAAATAATTCCCAACGGCTCCAAAACATCTATAACGGTTAAAAACGACCACAAACTCAATCCAACATATAAAAACAAGTTGAATACACTTGAAGAATGTTACAACACCTATCCAAGCTATAGAGATCAAGAGAAAAACTCTTTCACTCTTTTATTTCATTTTTCTTTTGTACATAAATGTTGGAACTCATTGCATATATTTTAATTGTTTTTCTTGTGAGTTTAATTGTTGTAAACACTTACCTTTGTAAGGTTTTCTTGTTTACATCTTTCAACATTTGTAAAAGGTCAATGGTTCTAGTTTAGCCATTGAAAAACTAAGGAGTTTGTAAAGGTTACTCTTGAGCCTATATAAAAAAAGAACAAATTAATGAGTTTGTTAGAAAATCCATAGTGTGGAGCTAAGGTAATGGATAAAGACTTAATTGAGAAGTCGAACCACTATAAATATTTATGCAAATTTTTCTATCTTTTCTCCTCCATTCTTTAAATTTTTAAAAGGCCAATTCACCCCCATCTTGATAGCTTTTTCAGTCAATCTTTTGAGCTTAAATAATCCTAATAATAAGTATAGTTTGAAATTTTCAAATTTTCAATGAAAAGGGAGCTCAAATACTTTTAAAATATTTTCTCTGTTTCAGAAAATGTTTTGTTAAGGGAGAGTTTTGCCAAAAACTATTTTTCAAATGTTTTATTATATCAAAAAGGAGATATTGTTAAACCTTTATTTTGATATAACAATTTAAAGGAAAAATATTTTTGGACTTAATTGAATTTGTTCAAAGTTTCCAAAAATAATTCAAAGTTCATTAAACTAGAATTTGAACACAAAACAATTTTCTGGGTAACCAATACTGATATTGTTCTTACAATATCGATACTATATGAACAATATCGATACTACATGAACAATATCGATGTGGTACCGATACCAAAGGTAAGAGAAGTATCGATAGTCTCTTGGTAGTATCGATACTACCTAGTGTTTTCCAAAATGTTCAAATTTCAAAATGCAAAATTGCTATCGATATTCAAGGGATACCGATATTACTTTACACAGCAGTATCAATATTGATCGAACCCAACAATATTTAACGGGTAGTTTATTTTAATATTACAAAGGTAGCACTGATACTCTCTATTCTTGTGACATCCTCAATACCGGGTTAGTAACTAAATTGTAAAGTTTCAGAATTTGGTGATTCAAAGTGGAATAATTAAATAGTTCAATGACTTATTTGAAGACATTTTATGAATTATTGTTAGTAATTATTAGATGAAGTAAAGGACAAAATGGTCATTTAACATTAAAGATTTTTATTTTCCTTTATAAGATAAGGAAACCCACGTGGAAGAGTGAAGAAGGCAAAACAAGCTTCTAGAGTTTTCTTCTTTTTCTTCAGCCATGAGCCACAATAGCAAAGGTGAGTTTTATGGTTAGTCGATTATTTGCTGAATTAAAGGTTGATTTATGATCATTAGATGATAACTAAGCTTAAGGAAAGCTTAAGTTATCTTAAAATTAAAAGATAAAGTAGTTAAGAAAGATTAAAGATTTGGAGTTTTTGAGTGAAATATTTAAATAGAGTTTATAATAAGAATTGAAAGTTGGATTTGACTTGTCATCAACTTAATTAAGAGATATGAATTGATAGAATTAGATTTAGAACATGTTGGAAATTGAGTAGGATTCTTGAATTTTATATGGATAATAAGATGTTGGGGTTTAAGATGTAATAAACGAGTATAAATTGGTTTAAGCATATGTATGTGAGTTAAGAGCATAAAAGAGAAAGAAACATGAACTGTAAAAGATGAAATGAGTAATTTCCGTCCATAAAATGTGAATTCTGGGCTGGTGTGTATCGGTACACATTCCATATGTACCGATACATCAAGGATAAATTTCCAGAAAGTGTTCAAAGTGTACCGATACACAGGAAGTGTATCGATGTACCCCTTAAAATGAAAACATTGAATGCAATAAGTGTATCGATACACAAGAAGTACATCGATACACACTTGAAATGGAAAATATCGAATGTAATTTATGTACCGATACATGTATCGATACACTATAGAGTGTATCGATACATACGTTAAACAAGAAATGAAAGTACCATTTCCTTTAATTTAAGAAAGGGAAGATTAGAGTATATCAATTAGAATATTGATATGGATCTATGTATTGTTATGTAGATATAGAACATAATCCCGTTCTGGAATAATCGAAGAATTAGGATCTAATTAAAGCAAGCAAGGCTAATGTGAGTGCAATTTAATTTGTACTTATGTTATTGAATAAACATTGGCTTGCGATGAGCCAGTGACAGAGTTACCATGGTAAGAAGTGACTCTTAAAAGTTATATGATTGATATGATTCTTATGTGTGCATGAGTACATGAAAATGGGTATATATTATTATATATGTGACCATGATCGGTATGAATATATGTGAATAAGATATGACATAAGTGTTTACATGAACTCATGAGAAATGATAAATGATATGATATAGATGTTTACACATACATGTGGTATGTGACAGAAGAAAAGAAATATGTGATCATAAGAGCAATGATGTGAATGTATGAATAAATTAAGCATAATGATAGTGCCCATGTGTTGAAAACATTTTGATGTTTCGATATAACAAATTAAGTATAAATGAATTTTAAGATTTTACAAATGATTTTCTAAGTATATTCGATTTAATTACTCGAATATCAAAATATTACTCCAAGTCTTTCAAGATCAATTTCAAACCTTACTAAATGTGTAAAATTGTGTTTTATACTTAAACTATTTTTTAAACAATTTTCACAAAGTATTTTGAACCAAAATCAAGCCTAAAATCAATTTTTCAAAGTGATGCACCAATCCATGCATCGATACACCAATGAATAAATTGAACATCGAATGCATTTTATACATCGATGCACATACCATGCATCGATGCACTCAGTGCATTTGATGCATCGATGCACTCAGTGCATTTGATGCATCGATGCACAAGCCATGCATTGATGCACTCAGGATATTTTGAAACATCGAATGCATTTCATGCATCGATGCACTCTTAGTGCACCGATGTACTAAGGGTCCAACGGTCAAAATAATTGAATTTTACACTTGATGCACCGATGCACCTTGTGCATGCATTGATGCACTGACACTCCCAACTGATTTTATTAATTGTTTTCACACTTAAACGACTTTATTGACTCCACTAAGTATCCCCAACGTTCAGAATCAATTGAAGGAGTATTTAAACAAGTTCTGAAGCCATTGATCAACAAGAAACAACAAGAAATTATTGAGAAACAAGAGAGAAATCATCGAGAAATAAGAGAGAAATCATCAAACATCAAATTTGTGCAAATCAAGCCAATTTTCCTTTAATATTCATTTTGCTTTCAATATTCATTTTGCTTTCAAGAACACAATTTGTGCTCATTTGTAATTATCTTTGAGTGTTCTTATCTTGTTTTAGAATTGTGCAAACATATTGCATTGTGAGGTTTTCATTTTAAGTTTGCAACTTTATGTATTTCTCTTTGAAAAAGAGTGTGGTCAAGAATTGAGGTATAATTCTTGAGGGAGTTGTAAGGTTACTCTTTGTCCTCAAAAGAAAGAACAAATTAGTGAATTTGTTGGAAAATCCTTAGTGTGGATAGCTAAGGTAGTAGACGTAGACTTTGGTTGAGAAAATCAAACCACTCTAAATCGTTGTGCAACTTTTT